TTCTTTCGGTTGCTTCACTTAGAGTTAAGCACAGAGATTTATGACTATCGCTGGTTTGTTTACAACCTATTCCGTTTTCTTTATCTCAGTTAGCATGGCGGCTCCGACCTGCCTGCTCTGTATATTCCATATTCTTTTATACTCAATGTAATACTTATAATAAGTTGTTCAAATCTGTCTCTGTCACCCTTGTTAGACTTAGTGTATTCCCTTTTTTTTCATATTACATCATTGCAATGTGATGTATAGCCCTCTTTGGTGATTGCTATGCTAGTGCTGACCTTTGAAAGCCTCCCAAATGTTAAAAGAGTGCATCAGCATGCTAATAACAGTTTAAAAAAACAACTTTGAAGTTATTGTGAGAGATCGGACTATTACTCATTGTTGTCTCGTAGTCGCTTTAACTTTCTTCAATACTAAATAGCTGATAAAGCATACGGTAAAGATCATATTACTGACTGGATGAAGAGATGAACAAGAGGATCAGATGTGAATCTAGAAATATAACAACTGTTCGTGTCGTTTCCTGAATCTATCTTCCATCGTCTAGTCCAAACATCTTTTCAACATATCACTTTGGGTTACGGTAGCTTGTTCAGAACACTACAACATTTCATTCTGCAGCTTAAAACAAGAAAATTATGTTAGGGATTCATCCATATGTCGCCTAAATATCTCTAGGAGTTGGGTTTATCTTTTTTTCATAGCTGATGCACGCCCATCAACCAGATTTTTATGGCGTTCAAACCCCAGAGGTGTTTCCGTTGATGACAAGATCATTCACATTACCTTTGATAGTCAACATAACGTTGTATCGGTTATGTTCATGCAATATATCAGAGATCTCAGGCTGTCATATCATTCATCCTGTTCAGTTTTAAAAACATCTCTTCATTATCTATATGAACATGAGAGTTCAAGAGATAACATCCTAATTTCTCAATAAATCTCATGTCTTTCATAACATCTGAACATTGCGTATGGCTCTCTCATCGATTTGTTCGATAAAGATTTGAACTTGGTGCGAAAAGATACTCACGTTATCGTTTTGTTGTTCTTTTATACAATTCATATTGTTTCTTCTATAGTCTAGGCAATTGCAAAAAGTGAATGGATAGCAATTCTTCTTCTGGGATCTATCAACAGCAATAAAACACGTGCCATACTGTTTAGTTCTGTTCTTCCTGTTCTTTAACTTCTTATATATGCTGCCCTCTCCATCCATATATGATATATATATTTCTTTTGTACTTCATTGCGTCTACCTCTTCGTTCCTCTTATCTATCTATCTCTTACATAAATATATTTTTATATGTTTTTGATGTCATGAGAATCGGACTTTTTTTTATGTTCATTACCAGGACGGTCACATCCCCTCCCCTCCCATCTAGTAGTGCCTTTCTATTAACTGGCTCACTATCAGTTTTCGTGTTTATTCTAATTACTTCCATTACCTTCCTCTCCGATATTCTCATTTACAACTGAAAATGTTGCAAATATAAAAAAAAACTTGTTTATTCTGTTTCTTGGGGTTTTTGCAATCTTTCTCACATCTAAACATCAATCTGCATCCTTTGAACTGGCAAGTTTCAAAATCAAAAATTCTCATTTCGATACAACTTGAAATTTCCCGCCTATTCCTCCTCACATGGGTACAGGTGAAACATTTGCCAAAAAGTGAAAAATCGGATTGGACAATTTCATTTGTCAGCTGGCAGATGAACTGTAAAGAATGCGTAAGTAAGACTGAACTTGATGAAAAAGACTCTAATGATGATGATGTCATTGAAAGTGAGAGCTATATTCTTGTATGTTTTCTTTCGTTTGCTTACAGTGTATCGTATAAGATTAGATGTATCAATATTGTAATCAAATGCTCACATTGCAAGCCAGACAAGATGGCAAAGAGAAAAAAAAACGTTTTTGATGATGATGAGGAAAGGATGAAAGAGATTTTGAAAAATAACTTGACACGTGCCTTCACACTGTTGTTTCTTTAGATTTGTCTTATCCTATCTTCTATCTTTTGACAGTGTCTTATTCCGTGATCTCTTATCTTCTCTTTTTCTTATTACACTATTATATACATATATTATATATTTTATTTATATATATTATATATATTATATATATATTTATACCGAAAAAGAGGTGATTGAAGATACACATAGAGAGTGTGAGAAGAAGAATGAGAGAGAGAATAACACTACAACCTCTATGGGTGGAGAGAACAAATGGTCCTTTCAGATGGGCGGAGCTACAAAGCCTTCAGTCACAGAACCATCAGAGCCCATTCTGGCAAACTGTCGACGTATTTGAGCCTCTACCGAAGCAGGATATTACTGAAATTAAAAATTTTTCTATCGCTATGCATACAAAATGACTATTCATCTAGCTTGCATCATGTGCACTTGCGTTATTCAAGCTGTGTACTACTACTCTCATGGTGGCAGTAGCAGTAGTAGTAGCAGTTGAGAATCCTATAGCTGTTCAATGCCTTTCATACCAGGTAAAGGGTTTGTGTGTATGTATATCTACATGTGTGTGTGTGTATGTATTTGTTCACATATTAAATATGAAAAAGAATAATGTTTTTGTGATCTTTTTTTTCTACTCTCGTCTTTTCTTTGTCTCTGGCAATTCGTAGCTTTGCGAGTCGAATTTTAACTGTAAAATAGGTCCATCGATAGATAAATGACTTTGTTTACTGATTGGAGCAATCGTTGGATTTTTATCTATTGATTGCTAAATAATTTCAATTCTTTTTTGAAATTTCTCCGTCATTTTCAAGTTTTTCAAGTCTTCAGCTGCCAGTCTTTATTTTTCTTTTTATTTTCATTAAAATCAGATCACAAACAGCAAATGATCTGCTTCTATCTATTCATAGCATTTACTTCGATTGGATGGGTTTGTTTGAAGCAGTTTAATTGCTTTCTGATCGTACCTTTTGAGGTTTCGTCAAAAAGAGTTTGATAAGATAACGAGAAATTGTCTTATTATGTCCTTATATATTCACATTCACCTGTAATATGTCTCCGCACTGACCATTTCCTTGCAAACATACACATGCAGACACACTACCCATACCCATCATCTATCTGAATATTGACGTCTATTCTCAGTATCTTTATACTTTTCAGCCTGTATCCGTGAGATTATCTCTACTCTGGTATAAGCTCGCTGTTACAGGTGGAATAGTTTAAAGATAAAATTTATACTATTTTCATCATTCGAAAGTTATTTCGATGAAACACCAAAAAAAAACAGAACTGGATATTTGCTGCAGAAATAATACAACTGAAGTTCGTATTATACCAAGGTACTTATCAATGTTTCATTCAATTTTCAGATTATTCGTCTATTAGATGCTACTTGATGACATGTCCAGCAATCGTTTATGAACGGTTTGAGCTTTCAATCACAGATAGTTTTCGCTCTTTGCAGTTGCCGAAGTAAAATCAAGTTTCTTTCATTTCCTCATTGTCTTCGCAACTTATTTTTTGAACAACTGCACATGGATTAATCGTATAACCTAGCTGAAGGAGAGGATATGTGTTAGGCGAGGAGAGGAGAAGAGGACATCAACTCGAATGTTGCGGATGCCGAGCGTATGCCTGATTTATGACTGTACATTATCGAGCAGCCGAATCTTTTCTTTCTTCTACTTCTCTTTCTCTCTCTCAAGTTTTACGTCTATAACTCTCTCAATTTTACACAATCTACAAACCTATTTATATGTCTAAACCTTCTATCAAACTCTCACGCGCCGACCGCTGGGCTGTGTCGTCGTAAAACCTCATCGCTTCGTCTTTCCTTTGTCAGCAAGGCGCATCGTTGACCATCACAACGAAACGAATCATCTATCTTCAACAGAAAAAAATACTCATTTTCTCTGAGTAGCCGACTAACTTCATGTTACAAAGAGTTTTATTACATAAGCGAATCTCTTCTTTGCGTAAGATCTTCTTGCGCACTTGTGAAGCAAGTTATGTAATTGGGCGTTAATCCGTGTTGTTACAGTCCAAGCTGCCGGATGATATTACATTACAAAATCTTTTATGAATCTGAATTTGTCAGAAACAGTTGACCCAAAAGAAATAATTTGACATCAATTCTGTTAATCATACCTGAATCAGAGTATGAGAAATGAATCATTTTCTTAACCATTTGCTTCTTTGTTTTACTATTCCCCTCTTTCTTTTGTCCTTTGTTAGAAGAAAAATCGAGGAAGAAGAAAGTTGATCAAGAAAAGAAATACAAATGGAAGAATACCGACAAGAAAACATATGTGACACATACTGAACACCCAACAATCCACCATATTTTCAAATCCACACACACACACAAGACAGATTTCTACTAACTTTCACACTCACAAATATCTTGAAATGAAAATAAAATATTATGAAGATTAATTTTCCAAAATATCATGTTTATGTGACAATGATGAAGCATCACTGTTTATGAACAATATAAACAAGGAGGTATACACGCTCTGAAGATACTTTCAGATTCAGTTTCTCGAAAACAAATAGTCAACAAAAGCATTCTTTCTTTCTGGAAAAAAAAAGAAAATGCCTCAGCCCCCTAAATTTAAACAAAAACGAATTTGTCCGAAGATCTTTCGTTTGTTGTTTAACTCGCAATTTTAATATTCAAATTTCACTTGGCGCGTACGTCAACGGTTCACGTTATCCCACGGGACGCACATTCTCCTTTTCACAATAATTTACACATCGAACCGGTTGATTGTGCTGTGCGAATTGGATCACATTAGGTTTTTTTCCCAAAAAAGGTAAGTTAGTTCGTCTTCATAAAAAGGCGCTGGTTATGTACGCAGGTGTTCGTTCTGTTTATGATAACGTGTCAATTGATTACAACCTTGTTTGAATGAAGTGCAAGCTTGAATAATGTCTTTTTAATTATTCATTTTTCAGTGGGAAGTTCTTTCTGCTTTTCGGGTTACTGTACACAAATGTACGCATAACGTCGCTTGAATATGAAGCTGTTGAACTTTTTCCAAGCTCTTGGTGATTGTGTAATTGAGTCAAGTACGTTAATTTTCGAGTCATATCTCTGTATTATGTCCGTTATAATTTGATATTAATTTAAAAAATTGTTTACTCGTTTAGTTAATGACTCTAGAAAGATGACTTCATATGGCCCACTTGCTCAAATAGCTGTGGTAGCCACAACAATATTTGTTGTCGGCTCAGCTAGCATGAAGAGGAGACCTGTTCTTATTAATGGTAAATTTAAGAATTCATAATTAGGAAACTTTTATTATTTAGGTTGTCTTGCTCTTGTTGTTGCCTCAGCTATGTTAGTTTACTCTTTTTGCATGAAGAAAAATATTTTGCAACTGCCGGCGTTATTTATTGATATCGTGTTTGAACCCAATTTAGCTCGGTATGTTATTTTAATGTTTTGAATTTGGTTAAGAATTTTAAATAAGATGTACTCTTTTTCAGAAAGTGTCTATTGACGTTCTTCTTTGTTAATGTTTTAGCATCAGTCATATTCGCCACCGTTGTTACTATGCGTGGAAAGAGTTCTACTATTCATAGGTTAGTCAACTCTTACTCACTCTCTTGATATTCTTGTTTCAGAAAGTTCTTTCATCTCACTGTCTCGCTAATTTATTTATCCGGGCTTTTCCTTGATAAAGATTTTGTTTGGCTTGCTGGTTGGCTTTCTCTTTGTATATTCATTATAGTCGAAGTTTGTTCTTTGTTCGTAACTCTAATTTTAGTAAATATTTTTAGGTTCTGAGATATTACAATGTTCCTCCATGGGGAGAAACACTGAATCATTCTCTTCTTATATTTAAGGATGCTCAAGATTCTAATCTACTTCTTACGCCTATTTATCTTCTGCTTGGTGTATTTCTGCCATTATTCTTATCTCCGAATGATGAAAAGCCGATGATGTATCATTTAGCAGGTTTCAAACATACCACAATGCTTCTTTATAAAAAGTTTTTAGGAGTAGCTGCAGTGGGAGTGGGAGATAGCTTAGCTGCAATCGTCGGAAGTTCACTCGGTCGTAATAAATGGCCAGGGTTGGACCACCGTTAATTAAGCATCTGATTTCATTATTGCAGAAGACAAAAAACTATAGAAGGATCTCTGGCTATGTGTTTAGGAATGATCGCGTTTTTCGAGGCTTCAATACATTTCATAGATTCAGAAGTGCTATCGTTTGTTTATATTTCCTTTGTGTCTGTTGTTTTAACTCTTCTAGAAGCGTTTGTTGTGAACGTAGACAACGTTTTATTACCATTAATAGGTTATATTCTGTTATAAATTAAGCTTCGGGTTATAATATAGGTTTCAGTTTTACGTTGTACATTGCCTAGGTTCTTAAGTTGAATCTTTCTGATTTCTTGTGATATTGTTTTCTGTGATTATGCTCGGGAACTATGCAGTGTTGCCTTTGTTTTTTTTCTTTTTTTGCCGTTTTTTGTATACAAAGTTCGGGTTCTAATCCGAAATAAATAGTATATTTTCATGAATTTCTTCGATTGATAAGTTGAAACATCACTAGTACTTGGATAAGTGTGTTGTTCTTCTTCATTCCTTATTACGAAGTTTGCTTCTTGTTGATCTTCTTTGATATCATAAGTCCCTCTATGACTCATAGCTGGAAGTTCAGTGATGAAAAATGCAGTTCTTAGAGCATTTTCAGTTCCCTTGGGGCTAAAGAGATAGCTTCAAGACAGCTTTTATAATGCCAAGACTGAAAGGCTCGCGATTTGGTTACATCCTACATGCTTATCTAGATATTTAGTTTTTCTGCTTCCGCAATGTATTCCTGACCTTTGCATTTGATTGCCGTCTTTTAAAATGATCAGATCTTCGTTGATGGAGCATTTCATTTTCGGAATTCTTTTCGTTTCCTTGTTCCTTTCTGCACTGGCTGACCACATTTATTGAAAATGTCAATCTCTATTTCAATAATAATTTGATGAAGAACAAGGTCTGCAACTTTTCTCAGTGTAAGAATATGAGGTGTGTCTGCACAGGCCGTTCTATGGTACATCAAGCATACAAACGCTCAAAGCCTATCCTATTACCCTCTCTCGTTCTCGGCCATTTTCCTGTGATCCTAGGTTTTTATTACTCAACCGTAGGCTTTTCTTTTCTTCCTTTGAAAGTATATTCTGTTTCCTTCACTCCATTTAGGGAAATCATGAGTGAGACTTTATGACTAAATTAGGCTTTCCATTACGATCCACTTGCTCCCTTTGCACATCTGTGTGAAACATCCTTCTGCTGTCTGTGCGACATCCGAGATACACTAATTCCCAAATCTCCGTTTTGAGCCATATGCCAAATTTGTCTTTGGATGTGCTTGTTGGCTACCCTTCTTACTAAGGAAGAAGGGAAAGATAAAGAGAGAAAAAGAGACAAAGAGAGAGAGATAGATAGAGAAGATTTTTGCAGAGAAAGGAGAGTGGGTGTTGAGAAACAAGAAGAAACTCTATTCCGTAGGCATCTCTGGCTGTCATTTGGTTAGCCGGCTGTTTAAAAAAAACTATGATGTTATTCGTTTTTGACGGCTCTGTAGAAGCAGAGAAATTTTTCCTGAACTAGACAGATTACTTCATATCCATGAGTTATCCGTGACGTGTGATAAAGCCACAAAGTGAATGACACTCTTCGACTTTTCAGTCTATGAAATCAGAAGACACACGAAGTTTTGAATAAAACTTATATACAGAATGAACGAAAATTATTTTCTCATGTTTATATGGGCGAAATAAATGTGTTAGATATGAAGCTGCAATCTGTGGCTGCTCACATTGGAGAAAATGTCAAGGAACTGTTTCAAAAACTAGTAGGAAACAGGAGAGACAACGACACCAAGCGAAAGCAGAGGGAGCTGTTCTTCTTTCATTTTTGCGCGAGCGATCGATCTCTCAGGCCCATAGGCTGGCACTCCGGCTCTCACCCCCTTTCTTTTTCTTTTTCTGTTGTGTCGTCTCTACGTATGTGTAGAAAGAAGAAGAGTTAGAGGAGAGAAGAAGACGCGACGTCGACTTGGGTGGGGCAAGGCACGAATCAGATTCGTTCTCTACTTACTCTCGCTTTTCCATTCCGCTCTATTCCTCTCTTCAGCTATCAATCCTCTATATAAAGCTGCAGCCCATCCATCTCAAAGCTTCCAAGCTCAGGCCCAAACAGTAATTCGCATACTCTCCTTATTTGGCATCCCCTTGTCTATCCTTTAGAAAGATACTGAACATAGAGTGTAGAAGGAAACAGAGATTGTGGGTTTAAAAGAGAACAGAAAAAGCATGACTAGAGTTGCATGCAGACCCATGGCCTGAGCCCTTTACCCTCTTCTTTTGGACCTCCCTCATCTGTCTGTCTCTTCCTTCCTCTTCAATCATTCACTCTCCCTATCCCTTTCCCTCTTTCTCTCTTTATCTATCCCTTCCTTCCTATGTCCCAGTATGACCCTAGAGCCAGTTGACTAGCCATTTCAAGCTTCTATCCGCACGCCCAAAGCCAACCCAGTCTCCTTCATTTCTTTTTTTCCAGTATCAAAATAGAGAGATAGAGAAAAGAGAGAGAGATGACGAGAGTAGACTCTTTCTCTTCTTCCAGCATGCACACAGAGCTCGAGCACGGCTCAGCATGGCGCAAGCCAACGTCGTCGACAACAAGAACAACGTAGACGAGTACAGCTTTTCCCATAAATCAGGCAACTTCTCCAATTCTTTCGACTGAACGGTCCCAATACAAAGCTACTTTTATTCAAATGTTTCCTGTTTTGCGTGCGTTCATCATACATCATTCCTTTTTCGTAATTAGGGCAAAGCTTTGCAAGTGCTCTTCCCCTCCTTTAGTTGGTTTAAACTCTTTTTCTTTTTCTTGCATTCCATCTCTTTTATTTTTATCTCATCATTCTCTCCCCCCTCTCTCAATCTACATGCTCTTTTTCAGCTCATGTAACTTATAATTTGATTTTTGTCCGAAACTCTGAGCTGTTGTTCGTATTTTTGATGTTTCCAAGTCTACATTTCAATTTATTGACGAAAAATTCAGATGATTTCTGTCAATGTGTCTCATGTGCTTCTCATTCGAACAAGTTAAAGCTCAAGCCTTATTGAATAAACTGCCGAAGGGTATGCTAGCTCTGTTTTCCCCTCTCTTCATTCTCTCAGTCTCTTCCCTCTCATTCCACTATCTCTTTGTGGGTTTCTTCGTCTGTCAGCTCAACCAGTAGAATAGTAGAAACATCACGTTGTTTTTGTTCGTTCACTGTTTTTCACGACTAAAAACTCATGCACACACCCATGCGCGTATAAAGAGAAGCAAACGCGAAGCCGAGGGATGCTTGTAACTCAACGACTACAGTTATCCAACATTGCCTCTCTCTTTAGCACATAAGGCTTGAGAATAGGCCGAAAAAACTTTGTTTTATAGTCTTTTTCTCTTCTTTTAGTCATGAACAACTGATGGGGCGGGTGCGGCTTTGTTTATAAATTGCCTACATCATGGTTGACAGTTCAATCCGAATGGCCGGCCATCTCTGCCACAGCTTGCCTCTTCGATTTTTCTTTCCACTTTGTGGCCATTTCCTTCTAACGTCATTTCCTCAATCTTCACTTTAAATGGATTATTATCTTCAACGTTGTCTTGATATTCGTAACCTGACAATTTTTTTTATTAAAGCCGAGAATTGCTGAAGCTTTCTCATCCATTGCAATCACTTTATGGCATTAGTTGTTGATGAGGTTTTCAAATCGATGCTTTTCCTGCTGATGGTAAACGTTGCTTTCATCGTTTGATCTTCCCATATAAGTAATTCTAGTTAACCGTCAGCGACTTCTATCACTTACAAATTTATCGTATTTGCAAAAACAAACTTCAAAAGTGTTATTTTGCCTGATATTTTTCAAGCAAGTAAAGAGACGGGAATAAGAAAGGAAGAGAGAGAGAGGGGTTCGAATCTGCTCCTCACTGACGACTTATTCATCTAAATCCATTATATTCTCTATACAATTTCGTTCATAATCAATGCTACTGACATAACTACTCTTTCACCAAATGCCAATTTTACTTGTCTTCCTCCTCAACCAAATTATTTCCTGTGACCGTGAAGATGTTTCTCTTACAATAGAAATACTTTTGAACCATTCTGACTGTCTTTCTTCTTTTTTTCTTTCATTTTTTATGCATCTGTTGAATGGATGAAGGTACTGCTTCCTACTAGGGCATGTCCAAATATCTGCTTTCTTTCTCTCAATCCCCTTTCTCCTCTCTCATCTCCCTCTCTCTCTCTTCATGCCTTATTTCTCCCTTCTGTTCGCTCAATGTATTGCAATCTGCTACTGTACACGAATTTTATCCAATTATTGATTGTTGTTTAGACTATTTGAGAGCTCCTCTATACAAAGAAACTTCCTTCATGTGATCACATGGATGTGTTAGAAAGTTTGCAATCATTTTCCCTCGTTTGCCTTTAGAGAACTTCTTCATTTTGTTGCTTGAGTATTTCCCTTAATTGTCATCTATTTATGGTACAGAAGATATTGGCTTAACTCGGAATTCAAATCAAATATCCTTGAGAGCTAGCGACAGAAGCAATCATCTTTTATCTGATTATCTTTGTCTTGAGCATTCTGTTGTTAGAACTCAGCTTATAAAGGTTGTTGGAAGGAGTGATATTTAAATAAGAGTCTAATCAGTAAAATATATGAATTTTCAATTCTTCTCAAACTTTTTTCTTTATTTTCATATTACAATCTGTTAATCGCAAAACTCGTGAAAAGCCAAGCTTTTCCAAGCCTTATTCCAGCTTGTAGATAAGACACAAAAGCTGGTCCCTCCTCTCCTTCTTTTCGTCTTTTTTTCTTATTCCCTCTTTACTTTACTTTGCTTTTCCTGTCTCTATCTTTCACTCTTTGTGACGATGTCGATCTCCCCTTTTAGTATCTTCCTCTATCTTCTGCCAACGTCCGTCACTGCTCTTGGAATCCAAAATTGGGCCATTTGCTTGTTTTTCTCACTTTTTCATTGCTATTTCTTTGCCGGAAGACGTTATATGGAAAAAAAAAGAAGAATAAGAAAACTGGAATAGATTTTCTCAAGTGAAGTAGTTGCCATCGATGTTCGAATTTATGAATAGGACTGGTGCGTCAGCTTTTCCAGCACTGATCTCTTTCAATGCGTTTTGTGATGTTTTAAGTCGTTCATTTATTGTTCAACTAAGCTGTTTTTAACTCTTTATATATCTTTATTGGTGCAGCCTTACCAAAAAAACATTCAAGCACATCCTACTGACTTTAGAACTTCTTTAAATCCAGCCTCACTCTTGAGCAATCAGGATATATTCATATAAATTCATAGTAACAACTAATGCTAGGACAAATTAAGAGAAAATTATTAGAAGATGTTAACCGTGGTTGGGACCATGTAGGGCCATGCCAATCGAATTATCCTATTGATTGTGCCCAGTTTCTACGAAATGCTTTTGGCGCGAAAAATTAAGTTTGTAACCTGATGCTGTTGCCGTCATTAGAATCCAGCTTTCACCCGTTTCTCTTTATCAAGTCAGCTCTCATCCCGTAGCTCTGTTTTTGTTTCTGCATTATATGCACATTGCTTGCATAATTCTTGTTTCATCGGCTATTAGCATATTTCCAAAAGTATTTTTTATTACACCATAATTACTTCAATCAGATTGTAGTTCTGATTATAGATGTACACAAGTTGATCACTTTCTATTTTCATTATAATCCCACCAACATATTATCCAGATTTATAATTACAGCTCAATCGAGCATGAAGACAAGTTCTATGTTACAACTACTTCTCATTACTGATTGTAATTTCTTTCTTAAAAGAGAAAATAGCAAAAAGGAAGTAAATAGCTTTGAGTTTGCTCTGAAATCTATATAGATACGATGGGTCGATGGGAAAATTTCAAATGTTCCAAAGTTTCAGAAAAACTATCAATGTTTCAGATACTCATTCACATACAATCTTTCTCTATCTCATTGACATTTCTTTTTTCTATATAAACTTTCATTCCTAAATTCAACTCTTTTCGTCCAAATCGCGCTTAAACAAATCCAATATTTCATTATCTGTATGGTGTCCATTTAAGCAACTGTTTGAAGTCTGCTACAATACAAATATATCATAATTTGAATTTCGAAATAAGCTTCCGATTTTTCTAATGATATGCTTAAATTGTTTCATTTTAATATTTAGAAAGTATCAATGTCATTATAAGTTCAATGTTTCCGTTTTACGTAAAAGCTCACGTGAACAATGTGGTCTTTTTATTTTAATCCTCAAGCGCGCGCAGACCGGTTGTATTCATTTTTCCTCACTTCCCTCAGTCCGACATAGGTCACGCACGTCAAATTAAATTGATTCTCCTCTTCGCATAATGTATCTTGTTGGGTTTCCTTTACACACTTCTTACTTTTTTTTCTTTCGTATTTTTGCTGAACCATTCCTTATCCGGCTCTCGTCAATTTTTCTGTCAGACGGCCGCCGGCGGCTACATTTCGTGTGGGCTTCTCCTTTTTCCTCTCCGCCTTGCAGTGGCCTTCGTCTTTTTCCTACTTTTGCCCATAGAATTCAAAAAAACTACTTCTGCGCTCGACAGCTGAATACATTAAAAAAAGAAAGACTGGTGGAGAAAGAGCAATCTAGTTACAATATAAGAGCATTTGATATGAAGAGAGTAAAAGAAGAAAAGCGGGAGAGAACGAAAGCTCATCTGCTTTCGTTCAGCTCATTCACTCTTCAGCGCTGTAGTTGAATACTGATGCAATTTGTCATACTCTTATTCATTTTATTGTGCACAATGTTTTAGTTTATCATTAACTTTCGATATGGAACCATATTTAGACATATGTGCTTCCCTATTATGCCTATACAGTTTTTCCCTGGAGAAATTGATGAAATAAGAATGAATTAGGTTAATTAACGTGTTGTCTATCTCAGCTATCTCATTTGCATATAAGGAAACGACATGAACACCCACAGACAACGATCTGTCCTCTGTTCCTTGGATAGCACAGAAATACAAGGATAGATATCGACGAAGCAAGGGACTTCGACTCAACTTAAGGAGAACCGAGAACACCCGAGAGAGATGGAAGGAAGAAGGATTTCCAATGTCGGCACAAGGTCATCTGACTGTCTCTTTCCTTCGATGTTCTCGTTTCCCTAGGTCTTACCTCTGCTCTCCTGTTAGCCGTTCTTTCGAAGGCTAAAATATATATAGGAGATTGAGGAAGATGGAAGGATTATTCAGGGTCTCATTCTCCTCATCGCTCTCCACCCTTTGGCCGGCTGACTGAATAGCTGGCCTCTCTTTTATTTTTTCCTTTCCAGCCAGTGTCTCCTTCCTTTTCTTCCAACATTCATCGACTTGTCGGTTTTCTCGTTCACAGCCTCCCTCTACTTCAGTATGCCTCTTAGACTATTTCTCTCGTATTTAGTTTTATTCCTACTTTTCTCTTTATTTGCCGCAGTATTAGGTTTGGAGTGATATGTGAAATTGAGAACTTCACCTCATTCTTGACTACCTCGAATGTCGATCTTCATGAAGTTGGCAAGGAAAATCGTCATTTCAAATGTTGTCTGAGTCTTTTCTTTGTTTTCATTGGGAATTTTTACCATTTTTCACCTTTTCTCCACATCGACGTTGCTGTTTCGAATGTATCTTTTGCACATATCTTCTTCTTGCATATTTCTTCAGAATATTTACATTTTATTGCCCGGGGCCGCAATAATACTTGAATCAAAGGCTTCAGCTTGGTTTTTGTCTACGATTCAGCTAGCTTAATCGGGTTTTTTTAAGACTTTTATTCTGTTTTCTTTTTCTTCGACTGTATTTTATTATGTTTTACTAAGCTTTGATGTAACACTCAGCTATAGATGATTCAATTTAGCACTTTGAACGTTGTGCAGCTTTGGAAGAATTGACGTTCTTCTTTAATTTTCTTTGATTTGTAGAAAAATCAAATATTCCTGCACTCATTTTCTGTTTGTTCTGTTTGTCTGATCTTGCTCAATCTAAATCCCATGAAACCATCTATCTTGTTATCACTTTCAACATTTAAGAGCATTATTTGACCACACATTGATGACAATTGGCTTTTTAATATTTTCTGTGTCCATAAAATAACTTTGTAATGTATCATCCATCAATATTTCTTTAACATGATGTTTCTAATGTTCCCTCTCGAATCATCCCGTATGTGGGATGACATCAGTAGTTGTTCAAAATTAAAAAATCGATTAGTAGAAGTTTCAAAGATCTGTGAATCACCCAGTTGATAGTCTTCTGAGTATCACCTTCGAAAGATGTTACAACTTTCTCTTTTTTACCTAATCTCATGCCATTTGACAGGTTTTCAAATCGACTTTTCACGCCTTGTAATTTGAAATTTCATATGATATGCTCACAAAAAACGCTCCAGATGTAATAATTACAATCTACTTTATTCTTTAGTGCTTAATATTCGTTATCATCACTATCTTTCTTCCTTCCTTTGCCTCTTTTTCTATGTGAAGCTGTACTGAAGACGATTTCCGCTTTGAAACTATTTGGATTTCTCAGCTTATTGATGTGTGTAGAACTTTTCCTGACACATATTTTTCCACGAATCATGATAGTGTGTTTTCACAATATTTTTTCCATAAATTGCGCCGTTACATTTTTACTCTTGAGTGTTTGGCAGGGATATTTTTCTGTATGCAATTCATTACGAATCTCTTTTTTCATTTTCCCGCTTCATTGAAATTAGAATAATTTGATTGTAAACAACGCCACGTTTGAAAGCTGCGCATCAGTGTATTATTTGCATACGTGAAAACATCCACGACTTACGTGGACGACTATGCGTCACTCATTTTTTTGTTTTAAATAACGCACATGCGGTCGATTCTTTTTGTTTTTCTAAACTTTTTTTTTCATTGAAAGAATGCCATCCTCTCGCGTAAATGATTTCATGTGTTTTTCGGTTAGTCGTTCTCACCATTCCCTTTGATGTTCGTTATATTAACAATGATTTTATAATACCTTCTCGTATATCTGCCTTAGAATATTTTATTCTCTGTTTGTTTAACTGTTCCGAATTTCCGATTTTTTAGGCTTTTCAAAACTGGAAGACAGTCCCATCTGTATGTCATTACATTACTGCTGAGTGAACTCAATCCTCTGCACTTAAGAAACGAATTCGTGCTCATCATTTCCACAACTTAGTATATCGTTAAGGTTAGTGTGAACTGTTTGTTTTTTTCTGTATAAAACTTGAGGTTACTAACGTATACTATACATCTATTGATTTGATCGTCGCGCGATCAATGTAATACGTTTTTTCTATGAGAATATTTTATTGCTGTCTCCTTGTTTAAGTTAACTTATTTGGTGTTTTTTTGTTAGTTTTTTTTCTAGCAACGCCTACTCAAGATTTCTTAAATTTATCATTGTTGAGGGTTTTGAAAGACGTCTTGATTGTGAAAAAAATGATGAATACAATTCCATTTGGCTATTAATCACGCTTCTAGCCCACTTTGACAATATCTTTCACAGCTTCTATCTTATCATTGTTTTCGGAGTAATTATATTGCCTGTGAGTATCATTTGGTATAGAACATCCGTCTTCAGAAATATGAACTTTTAATGGGAAAAATCATTTTTTTCTGATTTTTATGTTCGTTGTTTTTGTTTTCCTTTCCCGGCATTGCTTGTGATTCAGAAGCGTTTGTTTATTCAGATGTTCAGTATTGATAACACTAAGAAGTAATGCGATAAATAGAATAAGATTTGAATAGCGAAATATGAACTTATCTGTTGTGTTTATTGAGAAGATTTCTTGATAGTTTCATAGAATGAAACGAATCTGAACGAGAAACGTCAGAAATGTGAACGATGCACACTATAATATAGATTATCTGCCGTATCATCTTTGCTTCAAAAAATTCCCTAGCTTGCTTTGCTATCAATTATTTTTCCCTGAAAAAAGGCATGATGCTATTCAAGAAATTTTCTTGTTTCTTACATTTGTTCATAATATGGTTTTTTTTCAGATTTAACTTCAATAATTAGCAATGGGGCTGAAACCGTTGGAATTTTCTGATTGTATATCGGACAGTCCATGGTTCCGACAGAATCTATATGAACATGAAATGGCACTAGATGAGGCTTACAAAAGTATGAAAAATATTGAACATCAATGCAGAGAACTAATAACATGTACTAGAAGTGAGTTTCATTCATTTATTGTTTTATTTTTCACTATCCTGCGCAATACTTTTTCATATCGATTATTCATCTGGCCTAATATTGAAATGATCGTTTTTGCTCAGCATTTACTGTGCAATGTCTCATCAAGTCTGTTCCATATGTCCGTGATCATAAGCTTTTATCACCATTTTTGCTTTTTCTTCTCTTGTGTGGCGTATCAAACGTTTACGTCTGGTTATAATCTCGAAGTGCAGTAACTCTTCTTGATGACGTTATCGAAACTGCCAACAGTTTAGAACACTTTTTGTAGATGCAATCAATGCCGAAGAGTTCAATTTTTTTTTCATCATCCCCAATTGTTTATATTGCGTTCTTAGCTCTTGCTGGAATTTTGGAACTGAGCACTCGTAATTTCCACATAATTAAGTAATCATCGTAGAACGATTATTGCACTCGATCAAGATATGGATGAAATGACTGTTTTAGCTTATTATGTTCGTTATTGATGTAGGCAGTCAGTTTAACTTTATTGCTAGACAATAGATGTTTGACGTCATCTCGAAACGTTGATAGCATAAGTGAAATAGAAAAATCATCCTGAAAAAGAATTTTTTTGAACTCTATTTACATACTCAAATAACATCGCCTGCGTTTTGTTTAATTTGGCTTAATGTCTTCTAATTCGATGTGTTCTCTCATTGCCTTACGCATGGTCCAGTTTGTATTCAAGGAAAATGCAAACTTTTAGTATGAACTACGAGTTTAACCTATACCTCCAGCTGAACTTGTAATGCACGAAAAACAAAAGCTTCATAACCATTTAACGAATCTCTCTCGAATTTTCCCATTTCAGCAAATACAAGCTGCTATTTCACATCGTTTTTTTCAGAACTTTCAAACGCTCAAAGGGCATTTTCAAAATCTTTAACTGATTTTAAAATTGAAACAGTTGGTAACAATCAAACTGATGATGAAAGAGTGATTTGTAAGTCCTTTTCTTTTTTTTTCTAGTTTCAGAATCGTTTTTTTTCAGTTACTTGTCTCACAGAATTCGCTAAACTTATTGTACAGGTGGAAGAGGAGAGAACCAAAATATTAAATGAAGCAGAATCTCATTATTTAGAACCGTTGCGAAAGTGAGTTACCATTAGTTTGCATTTATATGATGTACAAATCTACTTTGATTTTCAGATTTCGCACAGAAGCTATAGGTCGATGTTTACATGAGGAGAAGAGAAAATATGAGAAAGAGAGTGCCAAGTTTTACCAAAGTTTGGAGAAGCACCTCCATCTCAGCACGGTACGCGAAATATCTATGATAACAATCATAAATGTTCTTGTAGGTTCGCAAAAATGATTTCCGTGATGCTGATGCCCAACTTGACATGCAACAACACCAGTTTTGTAAAGCTTCCCTTCAATATGTAGCGGAAATTCAATCAGTGCAGGTATGCCTCAATTCATGAGTTGGAATAATCATTCTAAATATGCAGGAAAGAATGAAGTTCGAAGTTGTAGAGACACTTAGTTCCTTTCTGTATTCCTGGCTCACGTTCTACCACGTCGGTATGTGTTTTGTAACTGTAAAGCTGACTGTATCAAATTTCTTAAGGGCATGTTATTCATGAAGATTTTAAGCCATTCTTGGATGGTGTCCAGATGAGAGTTCAAAAGGTTTTTGATGAATGAGATAGGATGATAATTTACTATTATTTTAGACGAAGGAAAGTTACAAAGCCACTATCATTGAAGCAGAAGGTTTAAAAGATAAAATGCTGAAAACGCACACTAAAGTTGTGGTATGTTTTTATTATATCGTTAGTTTTAATCGAAAAGTATATAGGGCCAAGCTTCTGCATCTCCTTCCTCATCTACTTCCTCTCCCACTCCCAATATCAAACAAGGGTATTTGTACATGCAGGAGAAAAGCAAGATTCCCAGTAATTCAAAATTTTTATGATGACATTTCCTATATTAATTTTTGCAGAAACCATAGGCAGGGATGTGCTCGGTAAATGGACCAAGTATTACTGTGTATTTCAAAGAGAAACTAGAATATTCACAATTATACCTGCTAACAGCAGTGTGAAAACAGTAAGCGTTAACAGCTTATTTCTCGTTTTGTTTTGTGTTTGTGACCAGACGGGTCGTAATTTCCAATACTGATCCGCAATTATTGGTTCTTATTGCTTATATTGAAACCACTCTCGACGTCAATTGACCTGGTTATAGGATATGAAAGGAGCTCTTGGTCAGTCTATCGCTTTCAAATTGAAAGAATGTGTTCGCCGATCCTCAGATAGTATAGACAAAAGGTTTTTACTTTTTATTTATACTGTAATGGTATCCGATTCCAGATTCTGCTTTGACATTACTGCTGACGAGAGGCCTGAGCCTATGACGTTCCAAGCTCTTTCTGAAGAGGATAGGAGGCAATGGCTTGATGCTATGGATGGAAAACAAACAGTATGAAAGCTAATTGAAAAAAAGAAATAAATTATTTTTTTGCAGGTTTATTCTCCTGGTACAGGCCCTTCATGCAGTGGTTTAGCAAGTATGTTTCATCTTATTCATAATATCAGCGGAGGTATATTCTCGTTGCAAACTCAGTGTGCAATAGAAATTTCATGGATGTTTCTTTTTCTATAGTTTCTGTAAGAGTCTATTTTTCAAACTGACTTTTTGCTAATCCCTTTTTTCGAGATTAGGTGACTTGTTGTTATGGGTTATCCATTAGGGTTAAGAGTAGACGTCCTGTTGAATGACAGGGTTTTGAATGTTTTATCATTGAAAAGCTATATTTTCGAAGTTTTGAAGAATCTCGAATTACACGCTTCAAATGAACTACTCTAATTCTCTTTCTCATTTGACTTTCTGTTTCGAAGCATCGAAAAATTTACTCATTCCGAATCCATTGTTTTTCTCTTATTCCCTTCTATTGAAGGCATCTTTTCATATGGCAGTATAGCTTTGTGGAATTGTTTTGGAATGTCATTCTCAGATTCCTCTGAAAGTCATGAAGATTTGGAACTCTTGTGAGTCTGTCGTCAGACTCGTCAGTTCAATTTGTTTAATGGACATCTTCTGATTTTCTGTCTTTATTTTGTGTTTCGCACATCGGAAATTGTGGTTAGTGCATGGATTTCCGCTCATGTCAGAATATTCGATTCGAATATGTCTCCATCTTTATTTTTGTGCCACAGTTTTTCTCAGAAGTAATGCCTTAATTGGACTTTTATGGCTTCACTCAGAATCAATTTTTCGACTCTCTGTTTGCTTAACTTCGAAATAGAACCTTAAATGTCAAGCGCCCTAGGTTGCTCCTCTTTTCTTTTTTTTATGTTCTGTTCGAGTAATACACTCCACGTTTCGTGGCACAAGTTTAGCCCAATCCAGTGTGTCAGGCAATTTTGTCTGAGCCTGAGAATTCTTTATCATTCCTGGAAATATATTTCTGAGCCTAAAACACTAAAAGTGTGTGACGTGATTTTTCACCTTCTCTTATGCACATTGACGAAAAAATAGGCTTAGTCGCGTTCAGTCCAAAGCCCCTTCACTTAGATTCCTCGCTTCTTAGTATGTCCAGTGAGAATCTTCAGATCGTCTATCTCTTGGAATATTCTATTCCTATGTTGTTTAGACTTGTTAATATATTAACATTAAGTTCTTCACTTAGTGAAACATCTCTTCTAAACTGTTAAAATACGCATTCATGCATCCTGCTCAAGGAGAGACGTTTGTTGTGTAAACTCAGCCTGCTTCCTATAATACATGAGTATAAAAATACACTTAATATCATCTTGTTTTTTATGAGTTCATACATGGCACGAACCGAACATGTGCATCTCACTGACATGAAAGTACTGCGCGACGGCCTCCTGGCTCAATCGAATTTGCGCTTCGACCAGGGCTTCTGCGTTTTTGTGTACATGTATTTGCATCTTTCTATTCGGCAATCATCACCATAATCGTCTCGCATATTTCTAGAACACATACTCTGCATTTTACTATTTTTTTCTGATGATGTTCAGAATTGCTTCCGTGTTATTCGGCTGATCATTCGATTTTCGATGAACAATATGCTAATACTAAAGTTCACCCCGATTTTTCTTCTTTTTTTTTCGTTAGATAATAAGGATTGTTGTATGAAGTTGCAGCATATCTTCCGTGTCACTTTTTCTCCCTGATATCCTCCCTGAGGAATAGTGGGCTGTGGTCTATGCTTTCTTGTCTTCACAGAGCTTGATGTATTCTCTTTATGATTACTAATATTATATTTATCGAATTAACTCGTTAAAATACTGAGAATAGCCATTAGGCTCTACAAGTGCCATGCTCTCTACGCTGCCTTCTTATTTTATGCGACAGGCTATGAAATAGAATGACAGTGAATTCTTTGGTGCGCCTTCGCGAATTTCAAGATGTCTTTTGATAGCATTTGGTCCTTCCAGATACCCAGCTCTCTAGAAACATCTCATTTCATGCTCATTGAAGTTTCTTAATTTGTGAGCACATTTTTCCATATTCCATTCCCTTTATGGTCGGCTTCCTGCTGATACTGAGAGCGTAGTTCTTTTTCGAAAATCGCACGTCCCACAATTAGATGAAAAGAAGAATCTCAATATATTTTATTTGTGACAAGAGGTCAAGCTTACACACACGTTCATCACTCTTTTCAATCGAAAAATGAACTCAATATTCTTTGCTTTTCCGTTTTTCGGCTTTCTCATTTCCTCATTTTACAATTAGCTTTTGTACATTCCGAAATTTTGTTCCTGATCTGTTCTATTTCAAAAAAAGCAGGGCTGAATGGATATGCCGTAATCATGTATATTGGACGCAGCTCATATATATATGTATTTAACTTCTTCTCATTAGTTCAGTTCTTTCTGAGAACAAACATTCATAACGAAAGTTTCTAAATGCATTATAGTGTTATGGATGTTATTGTGTTAGGTTTTACTCGATTTTGTTACCAATTTTCCTAGTCTTTCTTCCTATCTCTTCGACTTCCAAGCGTCTACTCTAGTTAGCCAATGTATGCGCGTGTAAAAGTAGGCGGAGCTGATCCAGATGACATCATCCCTATGTAGCTCTGGGACCTAGTTTTTGGATTGGACTCAGTCTTCTCAGCAATTCCCTTTTCTCATACTTCGAAATCAAATGAAGGGGATATATTTCCTTTAGTTGAATGTGTTATCGAGTTTGCTAAAAGATTCATAACCTTCAATTGCTTCCAGGGTAATTCTGACATGAAAAAGACTTCTCTTTGGTTGTTTGAAAGCTTTAAGTTTAGGAAACTTCCTCCAATCTTTTTGCTTAATGATTCGAATAACTAAGCTCATCCACATTTGGCTTTCTGCGTTGGAGAAGCCTCATTAAAGCAGACTGCCGCGAATAACTATTCTCATTGATTGTTGTCCTTAGGCTTCGTTTATCGTAGTTCGTCTATTTTTACTCAAGTAAAGCTAAATTTGAACCTGCTCCTTCGATCGGTAGAACACTTCAGTTGTGTTTGTATCCATCGAAAAACATGGTTTCATCCAAGCAATTCATAACAGATTATGAAGCGTCTGCAAAACAGCTCATCAAAAATTATGTTCATCTTCTGAAACTCATCCATTTCATTCGAATGCATGTACCTTCCTACTTTATTCATTCATTGCTGCTCTTTGATATTTTACCAAATTTCTCTTATGCTATGCTCGCATCTTTCTTTTTTTTTGGAGTGTTTGTCATTCAGATCATACAAACTATGCCTACTGTTGGTGTAGTTCCATTATCTCAAAAAGGTCGTTCCTCCTCGTGGGGTGATGCTCATAATCAATCAACAGCCTCTAATACTTATAATATTGCGAATGGACTCTCTCGTTTCCACAAAGCTTCGGCATTTCTACCAGGATTTGTCGTCGAAGGCTTCCATGGTTCATTTTAGTGTTCTTTAAGCGAGAGAAACTGTTAAAAATATTTCGAGAGATGATGAGGGCAAACATTCCTTCCTGTTATCATAGATGGCTTTCTTAAATATTCTAATTTTAGCCCAGCTGGATGAAAATGGATTCGACTTCGTTCAGGCCTGTCTGTCCTCTCTGGAAGATCGAGGTACTCTGCGTTTATTCCATATTCTATGTTTGAATAATATATTTAGGTATTCGTGAACAGGGATTATATCGGAATTGTGGAGTCACCTCCAAAGTGCAAAAATTGATGCAACTTGGATTAGATAAGCGGAAATCTAGCGGCGAGAAGTTGAATTTACGGGATGAATCGGAGTGGGAGACCAAAACTATCAGTAGTGCTGTGAAGACGTATTTAAGGTTAGTAGTATGTCGAGTGGGGCAGGAATAAAGAAAAATGGTCTTTAGGAATCTTCCGGAACCCCTAATGACATTCGATTTGCATAACTTATTCATCAATGCTGCAAAGATGGATGACAAGAAAACACGTATAGATCATATTCATTATTATGTGTATCAATTACCACAAAATCATAAAAAAATGCTTGAAATCGTAATTCGTCATTTAAAACGGTTTGTTTATCTTGCGTTTAAATTAAAACTCTTGTTGATCTTTCAGGGTAGCAGATAAATGTGATGAAAACTTGATGACTGTTGGAAATTTGGGTGTATGTTTCGGACCAACCTTATTACGTCCAAAAGAAGAGACTATGGCAGCTATTATGGATATCAAATTTTGTAATGTAGTTGTGGAAGTCTTAATAGCGAACTGTGAAGTGATTTTTGACACTGAACCGCCTAAAACTATTGGGCAGCCTTGTCCGCCTAAGCCAGACCATAGGCAGGTTCAGCATGAACAAAGTCATCCTGTAACTAATATGTGAGTGTTTCTTTGTGAAGTCATTAAACATTCTTGAAATCTTACAGATCTCGTTTTGATAACGGTAGAACCGCATCTTCTTCTTTATCCATATCTAATAGTGTTGGTAGAACACGACCAGTTGCCACTGGCTCTCCAGCTATCCAAGTTCGGACGGCTACAGTAAAGCATACCGTGCCCCAAACATCTGCCAGTGTTGTCCCGGCGTATGATTCCGTCCCCAGCGATGGTTAGTCCTATCTGTTAGTTCGTTTCGAACTTCATATCTTTTTTCCAGCGAAAAAGGCTATTCTTCCATATTGTGCTGCCAGCACATCTGGGACATCAGCTCAAATAGCGTCAGCTATATCCAATGCTCAACGTAGTGTTCCGAAAACTCGGGATGATAGTTCTGATTCTTTGAATTCGGTGAATAGTAATGGATCTGAAAGTCCAAAAACCAGTAGCACATCTTCTTCTAAAACTGTTTTAGGCGAGCCAAAAGGTATGTTTACACTAACTTTCAAATTTAATTAAACTTTTCAGCCAAAATGAGTTCCTCGTACGCGCCTTCATATAATCCGTTAGCATGTGAAAGGTGAGATTTCATTGCGGCTTAAATATTTTGAATTGGATTTGGGAATGGCACGATCTTTTTTTCTAATATGAAATGTTTAACTAAGTTCTGACATTAATGTTCTTTGTTTTGGTATTGAGCACAAGCTTAAAAAACGAAATTCTGGAGCAAATGTTTTGACTAGTGTTGAGTAAGTTTTTATTGGAGTCAATGATTGGGTTTTCGTGCTTGGTAAATGCTGTCCATGAGTTGCGCCAAGCAAAACATGTGATTCGTGACCGTCAAATTTAAATGGCCGAAACATTTTCGCTGTTTGTCCATTCAAGTAAAAGAGGATGAACACGAGAAATTGTCTTTTCCATTGCATTGTTTTTGTTTTTATTTTTTGAAAGGCTGTGTAAAGTTTGTTTGTTAAAGTTTGGTTGCGATGAAAGTAAAATGTGAATGCTGAATGTCTTATCGTCTCCTTCACCCTTGTATCGTGTTGTCTATCTAACGCATGCATCCATTGATTGTCCAGTTCCAAATTTTTTTGGAACTAAAAGCTCTTACGAATGCTTCTGCCTCTCATCTATCCTATAATAGTACCTTTGGCTGTGCAGTTTCAGTGTACATCGCGTTCCTACTGTACCTCTAGGGGTATCACAATTGGACACCATGTTGCAAGCTCGAGCTACTCCCATGTATTCTTCATTTGTTAATCCTAGTATGCAACCAAGGTTTGTTTTTTCAACTCAATAATTCGTTTTCTCTTACCCTTTCTGAGATAGTGAAGCTCTTCCTTCTGCTCTGTTCCTTTCCATTTCTCTGTTCCTCCCTATAAGTAGATTTCAATGATTTGCGTGTCTCGCATGACTTCTCCATATAGTCTGACAACCTTTCGTTCATTAATTACAATCAATCTCGCAACAAAAAAAGACAAACTTGAGATAAGTGCGGCTTTACGACGGTTTTCGTTTACAAGATTCACCCTTTACTAGCACGTGAGAAATTTGGGAATTAATTGCATGTTTATGTGTTGGAAAATTTGAAAAATTGGGTCAAAATACACATATAACACAGAGAGGTCTTATGAGGAGAGAAAGGAAAACTTCGAAATGTACTTCTTGAGGGATTCTTTTTCTTTTTCAGCCGGAGGGTGAAAACGTTGTACGCTTGTACCCCGGACCATGAATCTGAGCTGTGTTTTCAGCCAGGTCAAATTATCACAAATGGTAAGTTGTCTCTCAGTTTTGCAACTCAAGATTCCATTGTTTTCAGTTTATGAATCGAAAGAAGAAGGCTGGTTAGTGGGAACTCTAAACGGGAAGACGGGCTTAATTCCATCCAATTATGTGGAACCTTTACCATAGAAGGCAGTTGTCACGATTCGAACAAGCAGAGAGTTCGTGACGTTTGTAAGATAAATAATTTATTTCGCTTATTTAATGCATGCTTTGCCGATTCAAACCCTCTTCCTGAATTTGTGGTTTAATTTTTTTAGTTCTCTTGCATCTCTAAAATTTGTTGCCAGAAACTTTCAGTTGACATCCCCGTATTGCCTATCATGTCTTGTCTGTTAAAGAAAGACGTTATTTTATCTTTCCCGGTATGATGAAATATATTTTTATATATGCTCGGCACTTGTTCAGGTGCTCTTAATATAATATTATATGGATTATATAATTATGTCAGTCTATCAATGTGCCAATCGTCATTTTTGTTTTCCGATTTTCACATACTCGTGAGCAATTACAGGTTCAAGATCCTCTTTTTGGGTTAATTAATTTGATTTTCCTTCAAAATTGACTTGTAGCTATTAGACTTATTTCCTCATATGTGCTTCTAGTTACGTCTTTTGACAAAAAACTCCATTTGTATCATGTGTACCAACAGAGCAATTGTTGATGTTCAATTATATTTTTATTAAAAAATGTATAAAAATCTATTCAAACTTGTTCAGTTTTCAAGTAACACAATGGAATTTTCAATTTACCACTCGAGTTTCTGCGTGATATTCGCGTCGATTATATGATAATCCGTATATAGAAGTTGCTCATAATTGGGATTGAGCTCTGACCATTCAGCTATGGTGTTCCTACAAAACGATATGTATCCCGCATTAGTCAATCCAACGACTCACTCATAATTGAAATCAAAATCATCCTTTATGCTGCTATAAGCTCCTTCAACCTTTCTCAACAATAATTCCCGTTCTTCAGCTGTTTCAGCCCTGATTTGTCCTCCGCCATTACCACAGCCTGAATTGAAGGATAGAGAGAGAGTGAGGTGATGAAAAGAGAACAACTAACCACTAGGACAAGCCATCACTTCAATAAAGTCGTATGGACACTTGCCAGTTTTCAATTTTCTAACAACATTTTGAATGTTTCGAAAACCATAACACTGAGCAACTTGGATTTTCTTCTCTTCAACCGGAATTTCGAACACCCTTAGATTCTTCATCCTGTTTCAAGCAAAAATAGATTCAATGACAACAAGAATAACATTACACAAGAGTTTCCTTAATCGGCCCCGTACACTTATTGGCAAAACTATCAATTATTAATTCGCTATAGCCACCAGAAGTTCCTCCGTAAGAGCTCACCAAATGGCCTGAAATGAGCTTATGCAAAGGAAGAGAGCAAGAGAAACCTGAGGGAAATGCACCAAGCCATCCTTCATCTGTAGTTGTCACAGGATCAAATTCAGCTGGAAGGGCATTTTCTAATTCAGCTGCAACAAGAATTTGCTTCAGAAGTACAATAGGATATACCAGTGCTGAGGACACAATCAGTTTCCCGGCATGAAGTGCCAGGGACGTTAAAATCTGCTCGAGAGGCTTCAAGTTTTTTGTCGAAACATGGCATGACCGTCACATGATATATATTTTCAGGTGCAACTTTCAGTTTTCGTGAAAGAAAGTCTTTTACCAGGGCTCCTTGAATAGCTTGGGGTGACCTAGAAGTTCATGAGAGACGTTTTCCATCCTCAATACCTACCGAACTTTACTAATTAGGGGAGTAAGTAGATTTCCATGAGTCTTTTCGGCGTAACAGACGAATCCTGGACAAGCTGAGGACAACATTGGTCTAGTTGTAGACTTCGAAAATTCTTCTCTGAGGGCTTTATGAGCAAATAAACGTCCAAAAGAGGAATCGAGAACATATTTGAAACCTAAGCGGAATGTATATAACGGTGATTTCATTTAAATTTGGAACCTAGATTAAAGAAATAAGCAGAGATCATCATGGCAACTTGTGAGGGCTCCAATTGTCGTTTCACAGCAATTGATGAAACAGTCTGAGGGCAAACCGTAGCAATACAGAGTTGGAAATCCTTGACTGTTTCTAGAACTCTGGAAAATGATGATTTGACTACACTTCATGTTGGATTACAAACTTAGTTAATGATTGCTCTTCTACAAGCACTGTTTCGGCTGTTGTGATACATCCATTACAAGCCAAACAATCATTGAGGGATATTTTGATCGTCTTAAATGTGAATTCCACAGAGAATTAATTATTTTTTCACCTTTTTCTCTTTTGGTTTTCCCTCGGTGTCGGTTTTTTTACGAATGCCAACAAGCGATTCACTTTTTACTTCTGTTTTTGTAGTTTCTAAGGGAATAATACAGTTCTGAATCATAGAGTATTATAGATTCTACACAGCTGTTCATACTAAGTTAGGAGCTATGAAATCGCTGATGTTAGATATTCTGACCACTCCACTGAATCCTTCATTTTCCATTTCTATATGGTGGGCGAAATTGGTAATACGTCGAGAATTTCAAATAGCTTGGATGAAAAACCAAACAGAAGACGATTGACGAAACAATATTTCATTAATAAATTAAGTTTATGAAAATATATGAATTTAAGAAACTGTATTATTCACAAATATGGAAGAAGCTGCATCGTCCAAATACCTGAAAGTGCGATGTTGAATGTTAAGCTTCATCGAACTGCCTTACTTTGACTTAATCTCTGTACCGAATGTATAGAAAGGATTCGATATAGCATTACAATACTGGGAATGGAATTTTTGGAATATAGCTCTGATATCCTGGTCTTTTATGCTGTTGTTCTGTACTTCAAGAACAAGAATCATCTTCAAATTGGTATTGGAAATGAAACCAAAGGACTGAAACCACGCATTTTAAAATGAATTTCGTCATTTACATCGTTGAACCTTGTATTTCTGATCATTAAATAAGCTTCCAAGATATTTTTCATTTGCTTTTTGTGCTTTCTCATCTATTATATCCATGGAACACATTACAAACAGCTCTATGTCGTACAGAAATTTCTGCCATTTATCATTAACAGCGCTATATAATCGATTGTTCTTTAAATAAAATGATAAGAAGAATTCAAACACTCCAAACTTACATCTTTTCCGAAAATAACAAAAGCTACAGCACTCCCCATTATGCTTAATACAACAGCAGTCGAGCTTCGAATCAAAAATCCAGGAATGGCACGTGACCCATTGCGAATTCAGCGTGCTCCGTTGTTAATAAAATGCTGCGGCTATCGACATGCAGTTGTTTGATACGCTCGCTTCATTTTCTAATTTTTCGAAAAGTATTCAAACTTTTGATTGTTTTTTAACTTTGTTTTCACGTCAAATTATTGCAGATGTCAACTGTCGTATCGCAAGTTAGCGTTAATAACGAGAAACCTATTGATAGGGAAAAGGTGAGCAAATGTTCGCATTCTCGTTCGTGAAATTATATCAAAATTAGATTTGCCCTCTGTTACTCCGTGTTTTCTGTGCCAATGGAAGACATAACTCACTTCAAGATTACGGAAGAGGTGGAACACCAGCTAATGAACTCCAAATGTATACTTGGTTTGTACTACGTCACTTAACAATACCTTTATTATCGATTACAGGATGGATTGTACATTGCGGGAGCTGACTTCTCTCATTAAAGAGGTTAATCCTGAAGCTAGACGTAGAGGAACTAACTTTGATTTCGCAATAGGTAAGGCAATCGTGTAATTTTGCTTCAAAAACATATCCTACAGTTACCCCTGACAAGAACTATCCCCGTTTTTATATGAGAACCATCGGAATTACAACTAATGGTCAACGAGGAATCGATGATGGGAAAACTGTGAGTCATTTTCTTTTTTTTTTTTAATTTTTTTCTTATTTTTAAGCTTCAAATGTGTAAATTCGAAGTAGGAGATTTCATTGATGTAGCCATTTCCATGCCAGGAGCCGGAATGGGCCAACGCCGGTATGTTTTTGTTTTGTCATATGCCTAACTCTGAATAATACCTTAAGCAACTTCAATTATGATCGTGACAGAAGACAGGGAAGTCCAAACAGGGATAGACGTTAATTTTGATCTGCAACTCTTTTTGTTAATCATTCTAATATATTTGTATGCCACAATTTTGTTAATCTTGTTGTCCGTGGTCTATTGGTCTCATTGTCAATCGATATCTTTGATAAATTAAATTAACAAATGCTTTCTTCTTATTCCTTATTAATGGCGAAAACCATTAAATATCTTTCATCTTTCAATGTAATTAAAACATATTGTCTTTACAGTTGTTTTCATGGACTAATGTCTGAACTAGACTCATCATACTCCTTGTCGATTGCGAGCATTGGCCAAGAGGTACGAAACTCTTCCCTCTCCTTCTTAAATTCCTTGTCTTAAAGATACTCACTTTTGGCGTATATCTCGTGGGATACTCGCTTATTTTTTTACTAATTTATCTCGCATGGAAACTGACAGGGCGTAGACCATTAGACTATGAAGTCTTTTTGGTCGAAATGCACACGTTGCAGAATCGAAGGGTTGTTGAGGTATGCTTTAAGGATTAGTGCGTTCAAAACCTCTGTTCACAGGTTCTACACTTGTCAAATGTTTTCCGGGCTACAGAATCCTATTCGAGATTGATATCAGGCGTTCGAGGTTTGAACATTACAAGATGTTCTGTGCAATCTTTACATTTAGCTCGAGTTCAAAATCGTCAAGGAAGCGACGGAAATTGGTTGAGAGTTAGTGACACGAATGTGGTCATTCGATCTCCCGGAACTGTGGGTAGGAGTGAAACACCTCAGAGACCAAAGTAGATTTTCCTGTTCTAAAAGGTTTTTATATGTTTCTTTAAGCCATCAAATGTTCCATGAAGACCCTTTAACATTATATGAAATCGACTTACCTCCAACGGATGTAATATCCAATGGTGATCAAGCTCATGACACTCAAGTTGCGGCTGCGGCGGCTATTGCTGTATTAGGCCGAGGGTAAGGATATATTTTTTGCAATCATTTATAATTATATTTCAGAGATGGAGCTGAACAACGTGTTAGCGTTCAAGCTATTGAAGCACGAACTGAACTCGATTTCAGCGATCTGCAAAATGTAAATATGAATCTTCTGGTTCCCTCTAGAAGTGGGGTCATCCGGGTAATATCAAATTTTCATTACGTTCATAAAGTGTTATTTAAGCTACCTAGAGTGAGGGTTTCTGCTTCTCTTTTCACTCGAGAGAATGCTCCTCCAGTGACTGTTGATAGCGTAATAACTACTGGGACAGTTGAGGAAACGGAAACTGTTGATGATAATGAATCGGAGCTTGAAATTTCATTTTCTCTAGGTGAAGATAGTACTGTAATACCTGATGGTTCAGAAGACGAAGAAACAGAAAATGGTATCGAACTTGGAAAAATCGTTCTCTACAGTGTTATTTAGGAGATGAAGGAACAACTGACTCACAAACGACTACGCCGCTAGCTGAAGGTAGCACTTCTGAGGAAACAGCATCGCAAACGAATTCATTCACTGTCGGTACTGCACCTCCACCATTATCTGAGTCTGTAGATGTCGCGATCGAAGAACAAAATGATCAACAAAATATGGAAGAGCTTGTTAAGATTCGTCTGAAGTTTTTAGACGATTCATTCAGAGATATAACTACTAGTCTTAATGCAACTATCGCCCAGTTTGTACAGTAAGCTTCATTCACAAAGCTCCAAACTATTTTCTAATTTTCAGATCAAATTTCTCGTCAGCTATTTCTGATAACAAGATAGTTCGACTTATTTTTCAAGGAAATCTTCTGAGAGATGATGTTAGAACTTTGGAGTCTTATGGCGCACATGATGGTTGCATTATTCATTGTAATATTAGCGACACTCCTTTTTCAAGAAGGAATCAACAGGTACTATTGCCTAAAACACATCCATACAATTGAATGATTGTAGAATCAAGCAACTCAGGAAGCTCAAACCCCTCCGAATCCGCAAACGCCAAACGCTTATGGTTCCGCCCGGCGACGAAACAATAGTGATCATTCTTTTTCTCCTAATCCTCAAAACCTTCTTTCAGTTACATTGGCTAGAGCGATCTATGATTTGTACTTGCACAGGTTCACTTCTGTGCCACCATCAATGGTAGCTTGGATGAACAATTCTCTACGAGATATAGAACCGACTATTCGGCCATCAGGTAGTAACACCTTCTTCGCTAGGCAGTATGAAAGGTTTTTCTCTGAAATCTTAATGAATTCCTAATGGTTTTGATTCAGTTTTTATAATCGTCATTTGCGGTCTATCATGCCCAATGATATGACTGATTCTGGTCCTACTCCTGTTTTCTGGTCGCAAAACTCCAGGTTTTGTATTGGTGACTATCTAATCTTGATATTTGGAGGTTTATTTTATCCAACTTTTCTTGACAAATGTTATATTACAGTTCAATGCGCTTTAATATGGGCTTATGTATATTTCTTCCCTCAGTTATGTGATAGAACTGCAATTGGTTTATTAGTACTACTGACACTCTATTTCGTGTTCGTAGTACTGCGCAATTCTGGTACTCAGCCTGATAGTAACAGACGGAGTTGAATATCTTATCAGTTTTCCTCCTCCAAGACTAGTCGTTACAATTTAAGTTAAATGTACATAATGCCCAATGGAAGATGCACATTCTTGCCATATGCTAGCGCGTTGATTGTTTTCACTTTACAAGGGTTGTGATTATTGTGATATGAGAGTTTTGAAGACATTTATCCGAATAACCCAGGCGGCGATAGGATTTTTAATTTCATCTTAACTTTTACTGTTTGTGGCTCACAAGGTGGGCGAACGTCCGAAACTTCTTAGTATGAAATACACATTGAGAACTGGTTATATTCAATGTATCCTCCGTTATCACGTCACGAGTTGTTTTTTCTTTTTTTTTGTACCTGCTCGAGTCTGTTTGTATAGAAGTTTAATAGTTTTTATTCTGGAAATATTGTACAAATTCAAAAAAGGTGATCCATCCGAGTGAATAGAAGTTTCTTATCCAAAGTATTAATAGACATAGTTATTCACATAAATCGTAATAATTAGTTGAATGAAAGTCGCTATGTAGAACTTGTATTTACAGATTAAACCTTCTAACTACTATTTCCTTCGTTGTAGTCCAAACTGCTGCTCAGCCTTTTCTTTGATTTCGTTGTAGAAACATCGCTTGATGTTTTCGAAACGATCATAGCATGGCACGTATGAATAATCCAACTTTGTTATTCTAGAAAGTCACAATGTTGTCCATGTTATCACGGTTTTCATAAACAACCTATCTGGTCTTTGATCACAGAAAGTTAAGCATTTTTGACCAGCCAATGTTGTGGTCACACCATTACGAAGACAACACTGTAGAAATAGTATCTCAACTTCGACAGCTACCCCCTCTTTACCTGTGTGTGGTCTCTTCCTTGAGCAGCGCAAAACTGCATGTCGGCTGCAGCTTCCAATGGGCAGGCGTCAGTTTTGAAATACATTGCTTGGAGCTAAAATCGACGCTATTTTACCACTGCGCGAAGTTTTTTTTGTTTATATAAATTTTTGCAGCGTATGTGAACCGGTTGACTCACACTTGCGTAAGAATATTTCTTATTCTCTATTTTATCTCTTATACAACCACCTCTATTTTTTACGCAATTTGGCGCTTTACTCTCACTTAATGCTTGACTTAATAGCCCGAGGCTTGCTAGTCGATTTAATAGGCGGTTACCTCAAACTAGACAGGCTAACTGTGCTTTGTGACAATCAAAAAGATTAGTTCAAAAAGAGAATCTGGTTGTTACGCAACTTATGACAGAAAATAACTTTATAAACTTACGGAATCTTTAGTGTATGTGTTGAAATGACATTTGCTTAAGCAAGCATCTGGTAACCCTCGTTGTTCACAGCATTGACGGAAAATGAAGTTTGGATTCTATAATTGAGTCATTGTTGCATTTAAAGGGTACTGATGACGGAGATTTCGTTCTACACTTACAGTCATTTGAGAAATCGTAGCATTATCAGGTTTTGTTTGAGAAGCATTAACGGTTTCCTCAGATGGGTTAGGAGTTTCCACGTCTGTTCTACCAGACGAGGCGCCGCGTCTCATTCCGAATATGTTGGTTGGGCCTGCTGCTTTAACTTTTGGCTGAGGTTTTTCAGTTGAAGCAATGCCAGATTGTAAAGAACCTTCTGGTAAATCACTGATGAAAATTCCATCCTTAAAGCTGACATTAAGTAAATATGTTTCAAATAGTTTATCATCATGTGGATTCAGATTTATATGAGTGTAAGAGAGAAAGGGAGTCTTTCACTTACGACTTTCTGTGTCAATGATGAGCGAGCTCTGTTCCTAGCACATCCATATTGACCGCAAGAGTAGCCAGGTTGGCATGTCTGTGGATGACAGGGAGCTGCAGGTGGAGCAGAACAATAACCTCCTCCTCCACAAACTCCCGAAGTAGCGCACTAAAGTTATCTTATAATTGATTTCTGTGTGAGTAAACATACACTGAATGTTACCGGCAATAGAGCTAGAAGGGACAAGTAACGAACCTTCATCATCATGAACTAGAAGGTTTTGACAATAGAATGGTCAAAAGATATACTTGAACGATTTGGTAGATGGCGCGAGCTTTTTGGTAGTAAAATTACAGTGTCTTATATACTGGATGGCTATGGGCGGACTAGCAGCTTAAAATTTATTAAGTACATATGACCATAATTATCTAGCTAAGTTGAAGGAATAAGAAAGTGAAGAATGGATACAAAGTGAATCTGGAAAGAGCTTTATGGAGAGATTGAGGAAAAAGCGAAGCGAGACAAGTTGGGTGAAGGCAAAGGCAGCGTCTATCCAGGTATACGTTATTCAAGGATATTCAGATGGCGACGAGTGAAAGTGACAATAGGACCGGACGGTAGAGTAGAAGTTGAAAGAAACATTAGCCCATGTTTGGATGAAATGAAAAAGAACAAATGATGTTTATATCTAAATTATATAAGGCTTTCATATGAAGTAGTGAAACCTTCCAGAATACAAATTATGCACTTCATACCCAAAACGTATAAGCAATGAAGCTATTTTGAAATGTTTCAAAATATGTTTGTTCAGGTTGTATCTACTGAACAGGATTTCCAGCTAACACTTAACTCTCTTCCTTTCTAATATTGCTACATGGAACTGTCAATTAGCTACACCAAAGGGCTCCAGATAAATAGTTTATTAAACATATATTCACAACATTGGTACTACAATCTTAGATAAGCATCCTTCCTCCAAGAGTCTTCCATCTCTCTTTTCATGTCTTTTCTTATTTCATGGACGATATCCGTATAGAAGCACGCTAGGTGAGATTATGGATGTATTCTCCCAGTTGATATGAACTAGTTACCTTTCATGAGCTCAACTTCATCTAAGCAGTGCATCTGTTTTTGAACGAATCGTCGTTTTCTTACAAACGGCTGACAAAATGAAATGCAATCTTTGCTAACTCCCGATCGGGTACAACACTCTGAATGATCTCTTCCCTGCGAAGCACAAGAATGAATCTGAAATGTTCATTAGCCAAATCCGTATAATGCATAGTCGAACCACAGGTACAGCAATCAGAGGGCACTTGTTCTGACCTAAAGCCATTTGAATTATCTGAAACGATACAGTTTGAGAGGAGAATGTAGCATTGTTTATGTATACTGAGTGCTTGTCGAAGTGATTGAAACCACATTTTTCCAAACACGCATCCGGTAGTTCATGATCTTGGCAACAACCAAACATCAGTTTGTTTATTTCCTACAAGGAAATAGAAAGAAAGCCATTAACTGGTACATACCCCAAATGTTGTGAAAGTAGGGACACTTGCTGCTGTGTTTGTCTGTATTCAGGAAAATATTTTGTATTTATTTGCTTTATATTTCAAAAAATTTACCAAACTCTTACTTCCGCCCATATTTCGGACACCATGCAATCTCGTTCTGCGCACACGCGTACATCCATATGGCCCACAGTAATAGCCTTGAGCACAAGCTCTGGAAAATATAATAAAAAACTTAAAAATTCCAGAAGATTGTTTCTGACTGTTCCAATAAGCTTCAAATATCTTTAAAGCTATACTGCTTAGGTGTTTGAGTAAGCTTAGTGGAAAGTCTTGAGAAACAATCTAACAGGTCTTCATTGTGACTGCTTTCTTCTTTCATAAAATATTTATAGCCATCTTTTAAACATAGACATCTGAAATCTTCAGACGTGGAGGATAAGATTGAAATTATGGAAGAAACTTGCAGACTCATTATACGCGTAAACTTACGTCTCAGGCTTCAGACATTCCGTATGAACAACAGGAGGTGGCAGGTCATCAAAAGAAGGAAAACACGGAAAAAAACAAAGCTTTATAAGCTGAGCGCTATTAACCACTCACCATTTGTCCAACATGGATATGAGCAAGCAAAACGAATAATTTGAAAATGGAAAAAAAGCCGATCATTATTCTCAGTTTTTTTTATTAGCGAGTAAGTTGCAGGCCTTTTAAAAAAGAAATAAGAATGAAGAACAGCTAAATGGAAAAGAGTGAAACTGACCCAAATCCTCATCGGTTAGCTGTGTGTGCAAAACCAAATAGCCGATACCAACCGGTTTCCAAACTACAGGCGAAAGCCTTGAATTCCTCGATTAGTTTAAAAAATACTATTCAACATTAGTTTTTCAGAAACTTCATGTAGAGTTCGAAGATCAACTATTCTATCCCTTCTGTCCAACATTAAAAGCTCTGAGCAGCTTCGAATCTTTTCCATAAATGTTCTTCCAGAATGAATTGAGTTTACAGAGCATCGGTCTGCTCCTAGTACTCAGTTTGTTATAGTTATTAAACCCAATAAATGATTAAGCTGATATATCTTTGAACGTGCAGAAACACTTTTAGCGGTCGCAACTGAACGACCGCTTCAACACTCAATCTACGGCCCCGAATGAAACCATCAACAGTTTCATTCTTTTCTTTTCTTTTTCATAAACAGCGGTTGTGCTTGACGTAAGCGATGACGTTGGCGCTCCACATTAGATCACGTCATTGAGATCACCTAGGAGCCCCGAGAACTTTGAAGCCAGTGCATTGTCGAAAAAAGCACCTCAGATTAACTGTTTTATTACATTTTCAATTTCGAAAGCGCAGCAGCAGCTCATTTTCAACAGATTTTCATTTATTATAACTTGGTTAATGTGTTTTATACTCCATATAAGACAAAAAATTCCAAATAATTATTGTTATTACATCTGATTTCGTTATTGTAGAATTCGATAACATCACATATCACATTCGAGCATGTGCACAGATGGAGAAATAAATATGTTGATTAATTACTCTAGTCAAAGATGACAACAGAAGAAATCTCTTCAAATTTGAAAACGTATCCAATTATCATACAGGCAAACACTCAAACAATGATTGCAAAGAAAAGGAATGGAAACTGAAGCTAAGTGTTGTACTTACAGGTCTCATTTACATATTATTCCCTTGACAGTGACAGGAAAATATAAAACAAAACTAAAAAACAAGCAGTCAAGGTTACAACATGAAAAGAAGAAGCTCATTGCAGTTCTGTACCCACGTTTAGAAAGGATACACCGACTACTATGTAATCACCAGGATTTAAGCAACGATGAAAAATAGGGAAAATTTCTGAAAGTCAGGGAAACTTAACAACTAGCAAACCGCCCGACGGTGCTGAATATTTATAAAATTACAGAAATCGACCACCTCTAGAGATTTCGAAACTCTTGACTATTTGGTGTACGATTCAGGAAAGCAGGCAAAATAAGAGGCAAGCAAGCACAGATGGCAAAACTTTGGATGAGAACATACATAACAGATCATGTTTAACATTATCTTGATAAAAAGAGATTCTTCTAAACATTTTTGGATATTGGGTGGTAGAAAGAAGCAATGAGAATATTTAACAGACAGGGGACGAGGAAAAAAAGAAATTTTCTTCTTTTTTTTTGATATTTAGAAATGTTTTGTTTTTAAGACATTTTCTATAAAAAATTTTGAATTTTTCAAATGTTGGATTAGTTTTCTTGGGGGATCAGAGACTCTTTCTCTCACCCAATAATTTAGCCTATCATTTAGTTCATAGGATACTGTGGATACATTGGAGCTGACACGTATTGCGGATAGGACGGCGATGTGATAGAGGGATTTACCGGCATTGACATGCCTATACTTCCCATGCGGGGATTACCTTGCATCATAGAAGGATCCATCATGGGGTTCATATACCTAAAATTCAAACTTGCAAAAATAGAATTAAGAAAATAAAACCTTGGATCTGGACGACTCATAGGATGCATACCAAAGTATTGACCTTGCCGTTGCTGCTGCATGTGTTGGGCCATCATTTGTTGCTGCATAGCTGTAACAAACAGTTGAAACGATCGCAAAAACAAATAAAACTCACATCTTTGCTGTTGCATTCTCATCATCATGAACTGTTGCTGCGACATTCCAGGATGAGGCTTAAACAAACTCATTTTGAAAAAGAAGAAAGCTAAAAAAATACCTGTCCCATCATTGATCCACCCGGCATAGGCATTCCTTCTTGATAACCCGGATACCTAAACGAATTTGTGTTCAAGTTTCATGCATAAACATTGAATACCCTTGCGGAACTCCCATGAATGGTGGTGGCATTCCCCCAGTCTGAGGATAGTTTGGATTCCTCTGGGAGGTAGGCATTTGGCTCTCTTGTTGCTGCTGCTCAAGAGAGGTTGACGCTTGTGCAGGATTGGAAACTTGTGTAGGTGGCTGCTGGGAAGAGCTACCAGCCATACAAGTGGATACAGGAGTACTCGTACACAGAGGAGCACCGATCGAACTTCCACCGAAAGACATGGAGGTTGTACAGCCGTTTGTAGGTGTAATTGGCGGATTGCCATAATTACAAGAGCCATTGCTTAACGGCTGTTGCCCCATGGAGTGACTCTGAGTTCTACTAGGCTGTGTGGTCGACTGAAAATAGAAAAAGTAAAAACAGAACATTTTTTGGAAATCCTACTTGAGATGGCTGCATAGGTTGTGATGGAGCTGGTTGCTGAAGCTGTTGCTGTGGAGTGGAACGAGATGGCTGATTTTGTTGAGATCCTTGTCCAGATGTATCAGATCCTATTCCGAAACTACTCATAGGAGAAGATATTGAGGGTTTTTGTTCAGGTATCAATGTACACTGGGCTGACATCAGATCACCGAACAAATCATCATTACCCAAATCAGCTATAGCACTCCCCGTCTAAAATATCGTACATTAAGGTAACAAGAATGAGTCCTTACCATTTGAGCAACTGCTGCATCCAAATTAATCTGATCTGTGTTCAAATTGGATAAGTCATCAGTATCCTTACCAGAAGGCAAAACATGAGGACTAGATACCTGTAAATAATACTATGCTTAAGTAATCCTTCAACTTTTTAACTAACGTTATCAAGGCAAGCGGGAGAACATTGAGTAACACTGGAAGATGAAGGGATAGTGTGAGGACTAGAAGTAGATGGCTGCATGTGGGGACTGTTGTTCATCATCATCATCATGGGTCCGCCGGCTCCATTTATCGAAGTAGGATTACCGTTTATAGGAGTCGAGTTAGAGCTTAAAGGACCGCTACTTCCTCCGATAACATTGTTAAGACCAGGCATAGTAGGATGGCCATTCATTCCCGAATGCTGGAATAACAGAATAAAAATTGAGGGTACTATATTTATTACAAACCATAGCAGGATTTCTTTGGTGTTGCTGCTGCATCATCATCGACTGCTGATATTGTTGATGTTGCATTTGTTGCTGCTGTTGATGTTGCTGCTGTTGTTGCATTTGTTGCTGATACGCTAACCATCGGGCATGCTCTGGTGGAGGAGCTACAGCTGGTTGTCCCCTTCCTGACCCTGCTCGTAAAAACCTGTTAAAAATGAAATTCTAACAGAACTCACGGTTCATTTCAGCAAAGCCTTGACGGAACTCTTCTCTTCCGTACTGGTCATCACCATCATGTCGCCGTTTACGTGATTCACCCGTTTGTGTTATCTTAAGAATATTTTTGAGTCAAGAAGCCGAAATGTAAAAAAAACAACTCACCGGTCTAGAACTATTAGGCATACTCACACCACTATTCTGCTGGGGTCCATTACCCATTTGGATATTATCCTTAGCTTTTTCTCTCTCCTTATCTTTATCCTTCCAATATCTGCAACAATGAATAATATTGTTGTTGCTTATAAGAAGTGGCTGACCGCTGCCGTAGTAATTCGCGTTCCTCTCTCTCAGCTCTGAGCTGATAGTCATAACTGACTGCTTGCCTTTTCTTGGCCTCTTCCGCTTGCTTGTTCCAAATATTGAGGGAGGTTTTTAAGCGATCCTCTGGAGTCATTTGTCTGTATAACTAGTCCATTACAAAACATCCGTCAATTATAATAACTTACGATACAATATCATCCTCCGGGTATGGTGGCATCACGGATGCCCTCTCATTAGCAGATGATGGAGACGGTGTGGCCATGGTGGCCCCACCCATCTGCATTTTTCTGAAAAAAAACATCGATTAGAGATGATCAAATGAGTGTGTAGAACTATAGAAAACGAAGAGAGAAACTATAAAGTAAGAAAGAACTTCAATACTAAATTCAGACCGATTGCAGACAGAGTCATATATCGAAAATTTCCCAGCAATTATGATGCGTACAAGTCAGATTGTGAACATGTATGATTTTGTAAGTAGGCAACAAATTATGACCTAAATTTGCTTTGTAAAGAGACATCATTCAAACAGTAACATCAACCGTTCTGTGAAATTTTGTTAATCCACAAATCTAATTACGAGTTTCAACATCTTCTCTAAGAAAGCAAAATGGGGGAAGTCAGGAAAGGTATCACAAACAGTTTTATTGATACATGCTTATCACAATGACCCTACTGATAATTTGACACCCTGACGGCAAGATGAGAACGTTACCTGACAGATATTTGACATACAATGATAATATGTGTTTTACCTATGAAACCTAATGCAAGTGACAGATTTGAAATTTCCGTTACTGATGAAAGCCATGAAGTTATCAAGTGAGAGATATAACGAGAAGAGAATGCTCGTTTCGAGCATACCAATACGAGGAAGAAAAGCAAAACAGGATATAAAATCAATATTGGTTAAATAAAGAAAGTGTTAGCTTGCTAGGCACTGTTGTGCCAAAGACACATTACTAACAGATGTTGGTCGATCAGACAAGGAGAGATGGTGAATATGCAGCACTTCTCCGCCTATGATGAACAGAGAAAGCCTTAATGCACAGAAAAATTGCCCATTGATCAAAAATTTAGGTGGGTGAAAACATGTAGCTTACTAGCTCAAAAGCTCAATTAAACGAAAACAAGCAAAACACAGAAGAAAATCAATACGTTAAGAAAAAAACGCTCGCACATAGAGAACTACTAACAAAAGCTATAAAACAAAAGTCGAAATAAAAAGTCGACATTCACTCATCTTTACCATGATTCTTCGTTTCTCCGAAATTCGGCAGCTTGAAGTGTGTGGTGTTCAAAAACAATAAAATACCACGTATAACAATAAACGATAATCATGACGCAGAATCAATAAAACACTACTTTCTCATATATTTTTTGAAGTTGATATTATAATTGAATGGCAAAAGGCTAATAATTGCTTGAGAAGTGCAAGTTGTATGAGCATGTGTGCTGTTGAGTAAGAATATCGAACGAAAGACAACGCCTAATGGAGTGAAAAAGAAAACTGCCTCGAAGCGAGCAGTATTCATATTAATAACGAGTGTTAAAGAACAGAGATTGCTCATGGATCTACGAGAATTCATTTTAGCATGATGCTATTTTAGAATTTCTCAAGAATAGAAACCATCGTTGAAATTCCAGATAAATCTGACTAATTATGCTCTCTGCTATTCTTCGAATATTCATTAGCATAAAGTTTGCATCAAACTTGAAAAAGAAGTTTGTTTAATCTTATAACAGTAACAGAATTGAAAGATCATCCATATAACTCAATTAAGAATCATATGCAGATAGAGATGTGAAACATGGACAATAGATTGTGGTGGTCGTCGTCCAGTACGATGCAAAACAATCAATAAGATTGCGAACGTAAATGACCAGGTAAAAAAACCCGCGAACAGACGAGGGAGGAGATGAGGAGACTTCGAAGACTGGAGACACATAGACACATTATATTTTGAATTAAATACTATTCTTTCAAAGGGATTCAAATATTTCTTCCGAAAAAAAAAGAAAAATAAAAACTACTATGAACCACAAATATGTCAGAGAGCAAGAAACAACTATCAAAACTTGAAAATGTTGACATAACATTTTAAAAGGTTGTGAAAGAATTTGTAAAGCCCAAATCGTAACTGTAAAACAAGGATCATATTTCAGACAGAACGTATTGATTCCGTTCAATGATAAAAAAAAGCCCTCTTCTACAACAATATTCGCCGAGGAAGAGAAGAGAAGCAAAAGGCAAAAGAGTAGCGCTAAAAGAAAGGGAAAATAAGGATGCTGGATCTCTCATTTCCGACATTGAAAGCAATGACAGCGTTTGGTAATCAGCAACACAAATTAACAACCACGATCCGTATTTATCTGAGCGGAACAGATTTAAACTCCAGTAAACGCATAATGAAAACATAAGCAGCCATCAAGGATTATATTTATATATAGATATGGATAGAAAGAAATAGAAATATATTAAATGTGTAGATCTATATTATTACTTCACGAGGAAAAGCGAGAAGAATTCGGCCAGAATTCGCTATCATATTGGAAAGGCTGGTTGGTTCGTGAATGAGGCTATATCGCATGTGTCCGAGGAGAATGATTTAGCACGCCTCGCGCCTCTAACAACCTTGAGCAGCCAGACTGACTGCCCAAACAAAGAATGGACACCAACTAATCTCAATACAACACCCAAACCCCCAAAAACCAACTAATAGAATATCAAAACATTGGATGAACCTAAATTAGATAATTAAAGTGGATCAACCTGCGAAATTTAACGATAGCTTTCGAATCAAAACAAATTAGGAAACATAACATGCGTGTGTAATCGAAGAAAATGAGAGAAATCTCATGTTTTCTATTTATCTACACCTTCTCTTAACTATCCTTATTCTGCGGCAACAATATGAATACTAACAGTGCTAAAGAGGCGATGGGCGAAGAAATGTGGCTGGGTCTGCAGAAGAGCGAGATTTGCGCTTAAGATAGCAGGCACATAAGCCAAGACTCATGCAAAAAGAAATTGGTAGACAACCCTCAGTTACGAGAACATGGATTAGAATATAAGCAACAGAGTTATAGAACCATTGACTCCAAAGAAGGGCGTTTTAGAACTCAAAAAAAGCTAAAGATAAAAATGGGCGACAAATGAATAAACCCTCAGCAATGCGTTCTATAAACACAACTGGCAAGGCTGAGGACGTATGAGTCTGATTTCTGCATAAAAAATATGTTAGGAAGAGAGGACAAAAATCTATTACACACGAAAGAAGTGGGATAGTAGATATGACAATATTTGAAATGTTCTTATGCAAAACCTCATGTACTCATTGTCTCGTTGATGAGTAATGATATGCTGCCAATTTAGGAAAAAAACTCGTCCGAAGCATAGAATGAAAACGAAAAAAACTCTTACCTCTCTTCAGATGTATAACGATATGTATCTTGAGTAGTAGTAAGAGGACGACGACATTGTTTCTCATTGAAATCACCAGTAAACGATGAATACGGGTTAAAAACCGGGACCATGAAATTTCTGGAAAAAATATGAAATAAATTAAATAAGAACACATATATATCGTTAAATCTTTCCCAAAAAATTCTCCACTTCGTCCTTAATTATAAAGTCACGAGGATTTCATATATTACGAAATATTAATAGAAGTAATGGCATATAGCCATTTAGGCTCGTAACTTTACGTATCTTGCAGTGATAAAATAATTGGCGCCAAAATAAGTTTATTATGAAATTTCAAGAGCAAGAAGATTTCTAGGCTCCATCTCCACTTTTAGGTTGTTTTGATGATGACTTTTTGCTTTTCTTGTCTGAGTTTTGAGAACAATAAGCAAAGTCGACTATTCATGAAACTGGCGATTACCTTTCTTTCTATCCGAGTTTGTTGAGGATTTTTCTTTTTTGCTCTTTTTCTCGTTTTTATCTGTCAATAATGGTTTGTGATTATAATAGTATTTATAGAAATATGTTATTTCAAGCATTACCTTGACGACTGGATTTATCTTTTTTATCCTTTCGACCTGACTTCTCGTTTTCGCCTGCCTTTTTGATTTCATTGCGAATGCTGCTGTTCTTAGATGGTGTAGCAGGGGCAGCTGCAGCTGGTACAGTTGGAGTCGGCTTAGCCGCATTGCTCTTTTTCGGCTCTTCTTTTGCTACTGAGGGTTTCTATAATCGTAACAATTTTATTGAGAGGTATGAGAGCTCTTACATCAGATTTTGTTGGGGTCACTTTTGGTTTTTCAATTTTTTGGGTTTGTTTGCTTGGAGTTTCAATTTTTTTTGGTGGAGTGCTCATCTTTGGCGTTTGCATTTTGTTTTCCTTCTCTTCCATAGGATTGGCTGTTCTCGTACTATTACCATCCAATTCAGTCTGAAATTATTGATAAACAGTACTGTTTGTTTTGTGAAGTCACTTTTTTAGGAATGACGAGTGGGCTGATTTCGACTCCTCCAAGAGTAGGTATCTGGAACAGTAGACTTTAGAGCTGAAAAGGGTGTCAAGAACCTTGGTTTTCTGAGGTGTTTCCGAAATTTCGTTTGCGGTTTTAGGAATGCTCGCTTCTGATGTAGGAGTCGAAATTTCTCGAGCTGTTGGTGCGTCATCCTCATAATTTATTCTGGAGATCTCGACATTTCTTGGAGGCTGTAAAATGTCGCATTCTGCAGAAAATATTTAACCTCAAATTACCAATTGTAGTTCTGACGAAGACATGTTGCTCGGCGCTTTCTTAGATTCTAAGACTGATGATTCCATCACGGCAACGATTGGTTTCTCAGGAGGAGTCGGAATAACTTTCGGAATAAGAGACTAAACCACTACGCATGTTGAGAGAAAAACCCAACGACTCACAATGGATTCTGTTTGAAATAAGTTTGATCTGCGATCTTTTCTCATTCTGGAGTTTTGAACACTATTATCATCCTTCAACAAACGAAATTAGTATAGTCAGTTGGTTTCCGTTAACCTTCGTCGATCTCGTAGATTTTTGAGTATTCTCTAAGTTAGCAGATACTGGGGAAGCTATGTTTTTAGTAGGGGAACTTCTTTTCCGTTCAGATTTGGAAGTCTTGCACTTAAAAATAGATATGCTACGTAAAATGACTAATCTTTCGCACCTCTCCCTTGGGCCAAAGAAAATATATGGCCACCGCTCCAACAACAATACCTATAAACGCGAGAGACATTGTATTTTCCGACCGTGTATACAGTAGAAAATTCTCAAAATGAAAATGCGTCTATGAAGCTTACGTGGAAATCTCACGTGAATACTTATTTCGAAAACATCGAAACCGGTTGTGAAATTATGAAAAAAGTAGGGGAATTTGAAAATAAGAGTTAATTATTTTATTATTTAACAAGAAACAACAATAACAAGGAAAACTACTATCTGAGCATACTACAAATGTACATAAGAATCCTTTTCAAGCATTCTGAGCTGCTATTTGTTCCTGTTCGTGTAATTTATGAACTAACTCTTGCTTTTCTTTACTGAAGTAATTGGCGAACCATTTCAAATGTTCTATCTTCTTCTCTGCTGTCATGTATGGGTTTTTCGACAATCCAACGCAAACCTAAGAAAGATGATGAAGAAGGCTATTGAATTGAATTGAAACATACCAGGTGCATGAAATGGGCAACTGGTCCTTTGTTAGGAATTCCAAGAGTTTTTAAGTGACGCTCTAAGAAAATATGCTCTACGAATGGAACCTTAATAATACGATTGAAGATATGAGATTTAACAAAAGTTACATTTGCTTCAGCTCCAAGTTTAAATTCATTATCAATAGGGTACTGCCACTGTTTTCCAGAAGTAGTCCACTCAATCTGTTGCTCGAAGTCATTTTCCGGCCCAAGAGATTTATTCATCGTTCTATAAAAAAAAGAGGTCTCCAAATCGCTTTTTAGAAACCTACCTAGCAGCATTTTTATCCCACTCAGTCCAGAAGCTGAGAGTTCTATCTTGAGTTCCTTCTAACGTGCTCCAGATACCTAGCCTTTCAGAAGAACTTAAAAGTGATGGAAGAGAAGGATCCTCTCTGACGATTTTTCTTTTAACACCGTTATTGTCAAAGAGATCATCTTGATACAACATTTTTCTGGAACAATCCAACTGATTAAAAAAAAAATTATATTGTAAACTCTGCTAGCTGATATGCTTGTTCGAACAATTTCTTCTCCTTTTCGCTCTGATTTCCAGTTGCTTCGGCTTCCTCTTCGAGAACGGCATTAGCTCCATCTCGTTGCGCTTGACGCTGAGCTAAAACTCTTTCTTGAGCTTGTGTTACAGCTTTTTCGGCAATCGTGCGTGCCTCTTCAGCTTTGTATCCGCTCTTCATATATCGTTTATAATGGAAGTTATATAACTGCTCTTACTTGAATTGCCTGATAGAAAATTTCTTTGCGTAAGAGCACAAATCCTCTTTTATCCTGACGGATTTGTGCCGCAGTTGGTCTGAACGTTTTCAAAATGTATAAACATAAATTAATCGTTAGTTACTTAGCAACTCTCTGGGCTTGTGCATCAGCAGCAACATCGCTAAGTAGGTTCACAACAGCACTGTCTTCTAACATATCAATGGTTTGAGCAGCAGTCGCATCGTGGAAAGTACTTTTCTCTGTTGCTATCAATTTGGAAATGAGTGTGTTTTTGACTCTGAACAAAAGGAAAATAACTGAATGAACTGAAAGACACCAAAGCTAACTCTTTTTTCGCAGCAGGGTTCGTTGAGTGCAATTCATTCGCGATATCATTTACTGCATTTAATATATCATCGCCCAACACTTCTTTTGCGTTTGGATCTTTTGGCTTAAAAAGGAGCACTGAAAGATAAATGGAATACAACACTCACTCCTTTCCCGTCTGATCCGCTGGCTAAACCTCTCCAACCTGTTCTTGATCGAGGAAGGCTACAAACTAACTTGCGGAGCATAAATGCCTATGAAGAACCCACTCATATTTGCAAGTTTTTTTTTCAAATATTACATCGGAGCGAAGATGACACTGTTTCTCAAAAAACGTCAAGAAAAAAATCTTTATGGAAAAGCAAGAGAACAAACGTTCCATACGAAACAGAAAAGGATCACCGATCAGTTCATAACATCTATAGAACTAAGCTATAGAACTACACTGGCTCATAAATTATTTTCTACTATATAGAAACACTGCTTAGTTGACAAACTTGACTCCCTTAGCGATGTTCTTGTTCAATTCAGGAACGGAAGCATCAATGAGACTTTGTTCGTATGGAGTGACCTAAATACGAAAATTGTTTCGGGCTTATCATCTTATCATTGTTTCACCTTTCCAACTCCCAAGATTTTTTCAACTCCATTAGGTCCGAGTTCGATTGGGGTAGAGAAGAATTCAACACCCTTTACGGCATCAGAAGCGACGTAGGCACATTGGACGTTCTTGTCTCCCTTAAGCCCACGGACGAGGGAGTTGGCAAAACGAGCTCCGGCCAAAGCCATGGAGAGAGTAGCAGATCCCTATAAAAAAAACTCTGCTTCACCGAAATTATGTTACGACTTACAGCTCCAGCCTTAGCGTTGACGACCTCAGTTCCGGCATCTTGAATTCTTGGAGTGAGCTTCTTGATTTCTTCTTCGCTGAATTTGACAGAAGGGGTGGTTTGAGAGAGAAGGGGGATGATAGTGATTCCGGCATGTCCTCCGACAACGGGGACAACTGTCTCGGATGCATCAAGACCCTGAGAAAAGAGATGAAAAACACAGATCTATCTCATAGTTACCTTAAGTTCAGATACGAAAGCTTGAGAGCGGACAACATCGAGGGTGGTTACTCCGAATACACGGCGCTTATCATAAACTCCAGCCTTCTTGAGAACTTCAGCAGCAATTGGGACTGTGGAGTTAATTGGGTTGGTAATGATAGCAATGAAGGCCTGACAACATACATTTTAGTGAGTATTTTCATTAAAAAAAAACTCTCACCTTTGGGGCGACCTTAGCGATGGTAGAAACCAAGTCTCTGACGATTCCGGCGTTGGTGTTGAAGAGATCATCACGAGTCATTCCTGGCTTTCTGGGGACTCCAGCTGGAATAACGATGACATCGGCTCCTTCAACACAAGCGGCAAGCTCATTTGGTCCAGTGTGTGCGGTAACCTAAAGTTAGTATGAACGCATTGTTTTCTAGCAGAAAAATACCTTAGCGTTTGAATCGATGTGGGAAAGATCAGCGGCGACTCCTGGGGTTCCGACAACGTCGTAAAGAGCGAGGTGCTTAACCAGAGGGTCTTGCTTGAGAAGAAGACCGAGAGGTTGTCCAATTCCTCCAGATGCTCCAAGAAGAGCTACCTAAATCTTGGTATAATTGATCTTCCATTTGAATTAGTGTCACTTTAGGGGCAGAGCTGCTATTTCTTGAAGCACTGAGTCTCAAAGCATTGGCAACAGCCATAGAAGCGTTCTTACCAGCAAAAGCCATCTAGAAATTGATATCAATTAGAATATGTCAAAAAAAAGTTTCCAAAAAAAATTAATGATGTTCGAAAGTAAATATAAAAAAATATATTGGCACTAAATCAAAGATAGAAGTGTTGTGCGCGAATGCAACGCAGGGGTTAAAGGACGGGGCCCGTCTATCATTTCCGTTCGAGACACCACTCGGGAATTTTGAGCCAGAGATTGCCCGAAAACAAATCAGAATTACTGTATTTGAACAGAACTGGGGAACTTAGATCAGATTTAGAGGTTAAGACTTGATATGACAGAATGTTTCAAACAATGAAGCCTTATCCACTTAGCCCTCAGAAGGCCAATGTGCCTTTTAAAGTGCGGAAAGGGTTGAAGGTATTTTTGAAAAATTATCATCGGAGTGATGAAACTGTTCATCAAATAAGATATGCAATGATATACTCAGGGTGAGTTTGGTTTTTTGGCGAGACTCATCTGAAGATACATCGTTGTGATGTGGTATTTCGAGGTTTGGTGCAACCTACTCTATCTGAGGACTTCCATCTTCCTATCATCTGACTTTAACAAGGCTTTAGTGATAAAACAGTATCAGAGCAAATGGAATGATTTCATGATGAAGCTCAAGAATGAATGATCAGTCATAATATAGTATTTCAACAAGGAAGAACTGAGCCCGTTAATAAAAAGTTGAAAAACTGTGTTCCAATCACATTTTTCTTGAAAAATTTTTTTTCAAAACTTTTGTTTTCAGCAATATTTGAGCAGCTACAGCATAAAGACCTAATATGGATTTTTCATCGTATCCAAACCGACATCTCACCTAGGCTAATTGCATCAATTCTCCCAAGTAATGGAGAGTATCATATTTTCAAATTTTGGAAAGCAAACAACGAAGAAGAAAACTCAGAGAAGATTAGTTAGATCATGAAAGTTATGAATTTGAATTAACTAACGAAAACAAATAGAAGTTTTATTCTTGAAACAATTCGATTAATGATATGAAGAAATAAGAATAACCAAGTGTCAAAGTGACGTAGAAATCACATGAAGGAAAGGTGTTAACAAGGAGAAGTAAGATCATTCATAACAATTGATAACTTCTCTGGAAAATTCTACATATAGGAAGGAAAAATGTTCATCAAGTTTGCTTATGGAAAGAACAACAAACTTTGAGCTTATTTAACCTAGATTAATCACACAAATTGTGTTTTCATTATTACTGCGAACTGAGAATTTCATAGATCTGTAGAAGCGTTTTACAGCATAAATATGCTCAAAATAAATTACGAATTAAAGATTTCATATTTTTTGCATTTCTCTAACAATTCATAAAACGAAGGTATACGGATGGAGGATTTTCCGACGGGATCTATCTAAGAGAGGATCACTCATCATCATAGTCCGTCGTCATCATCAACTTCCTTAACTTCCTTAGCGCTGGATATTGTGGATTCATCAATTACTTCTTGATTATATTCCTTTGGTTGGCATTTTACTAAATCTATACGTGCCATATCAATCTGCAAAGATATGGTTTTAGATTTACTTTGAGATAACTTGTTTAGTACTTGTTGCTCTGGGAACCTCCATGGTTTCCAATGAGGCTGATGCTGCTCCTTCCATTCTGTATAGCCCAGGCAGGCTTTGTGTAACTTTTTGACCATTTTAGGTGTTATGACCTTAGTCACTCTATTCACAAGCCAAGTTGGCAGTTTGCCTTTTGGATCTGAGTGGCTGATATATGTTATTTGGCAGCCATCACCAGCTCGGCGTATGAAGTAGCCCGAAAGAAGCACTGTTCCCCGTATGTAAGCCTTATTAGGAGGAAAATCCTAAATGCATTATGTATCTTAGAAATCATGTTAAAGAATCTACTTCGTGGCAGACAGAATGACTACAAATCAGCTGTTCATCACCCATATCTAGCCATGAGCGTTGCATAACGAAATCTCTCGGTCTTATAGGAGGAATGGAATTGACTGAAAATAAGAAAAACAAGACGAATGTTTCAAATTACATTAACGTTTACCAGCATAATAGCCAATGTCATTGTTTGGATTAATAATTCCAATATCTTTTTGTGCAGCCATATATTTATCCCACTGAAATTTAGAAAAAAAATTTTCTCAAGATTAAAGTGAGAGCCAAATACTTTTCCTCTATAAACAGAATCTTGGAGAACATCGAAAGCTACGTGACAGGGCACATCATCAAATTGTGCAAAAGCCTGAAAAAAACAGAAATAAATAATAACAACATGAGAGGAAATTGCAACCGCTCTTCATGCTTCTCATACTAGAAATGAAGTTGGCGTCATTCTATATTTTCAAAATAAATTCCACTTACTTTCACCATTTGGAATGTGCTATTTGGAATGGTTTGCGTCCATACTTTGACATTTTTTTTATTATAAACCTTTGAAGAGATGAAGTTGTAATGCTTTGAAACGAAAGAAATCAGCTTACCTCGGTCCATCCGACATTATTATCACATGTATTCTTAACTTTCATGTAATCAGCATCTTCCCAAACCCGTGCCGCATTGACCCGCATTTTCAGAAGTCTGAAAGTATTTCGTTTTAAGATAATTTTTTTTCTCTATTATTGCTTGAAATGAAAAAAAATGAAGATAAGCAGCAATATCGTCGAGTAACATAAATAAAAATATCAGCTGACATTAGCTTTTCAAAACTTATTCAGCTGTCAATGGTGGTATGCTTGAGATAAATTCAAAAAAAATGTAATGATGAATTGAAATTTCAATAGAAAATATAGAAATAACTTGTATGAGGAAGAAGAGCGTTCTCGTACAAGCTCATATCAACGTTATTGGGCTAAGAGTACGGAAAGTGAAATATTGAATATGAATTTGTGAGAAATGTATATTCTTGAGAAGAAACAAGAGGGTTCTTAAATAGATAGGCTACTTCCATGCAGATGACAATATGTTTCTTCGATTTATAAACGTGCTGTCACTTTTTTTGTCAAGCTAAAAAGCCCAAATATGGGGGTTGGCTTGAACAGAAAAAAAAATTGGATTGAGGAATATATATTGATAGAATGAATATGTGAATGCTTCTGAAATTAAATGGATGATCTGAACTAAGCAAGCTTTCTAATTCAGCGTCAAAAGTAACACAAGCAATTGGATGTCAAAAAAGAGCAGAGTGGTTTCCATAAAAGGATAAATAAGTAATGTGACAGCGTTGGGGGCAGAAATGACTAACGATGAATAAGAATAGCACAGACTAAGAAATTACGTCTAGCTTACACATTTTCATGTACTAAATGACTATTTAAGTTAAAGCATAAATAAGTTTAAGAAAATAAAAGCGAAACGGCGCTGTTCAGAAGTAGTAGTGGAAGGCAAGATAGTATGAAGCAACAAATGAGAAAATATGCTGGAAAAGAAAGAGAATGGAGAGAGAGCGAATGCAAGAGAGTAAGATGATAGAGGATACAGTGTTAAGTTTCCAGCTTTCAATTCTTAGGATCCATTGTTCCTACTCATAAGGCGATTAGTCTCTACGTCATTTTGTCTCAAGTAATTTTAATTTCTGAAGCTCTTCTCAATCATTTTCATTAGCTTAAGCCTAAGTGAGTAAGAGCATAAATAGAAAATTTTCGTACAAGAAGAAGTCAATGTTAATTCATGGATAACTTGGATAAATTAAGAAAGCACTATGGAGAAAGACAAAAGAAGATTGTGTTCGAGCAAAATAAAGCATTAGTTTGCCTTCGAAATATTATAAAGAGTCATAAAAACGGATAATAAGCCAAAATAGGAGCGAATACTAAAAAAAAAACACAACTATAGGAAGAAAGCTCGTGGGATATGCAGAAGGAGCGAAAGATGACAGCTACCGCACACTGAACTCAGATGCATAGAATGCTAAAAGAGAAAGAAAGATGAAAGTGGTTGAAGAGAAAAAAGAAAGCCCAGAAATGAAAGAAAAAAAAGCGAAAAAGAGAAAGAGAAGGAGAGAGATAGAGAGACAAAACAAAAAAAATGACTGCCAGAACATATGTACAGCATATAATACATAAACAACAATAAGAATGCCTTTATTAGTCATCTTCTTAACAGCAGGCTGGATTTTAGAAACTCCCTTAGTTCCTTTTGTCTTACGAAAGAAACGTAACAAATGTTTTCTTTTTTCATCTTCACAGAGAAAGTAAATTTTTCTCTTTGAGAACATGAAAAACACTTTTTAGCGCTTTCAGTTTCTATTCAAGCTTGAAGGATCCATTTTCGGAATTTTTCTGGTTTTCGACCTTTTATGGCAGAATCAGCTCCCGTAAGGCAAACTTCAAGTGAATTTCATGAGAAACACATCGCATAAGCAGAAAAATATTTTAAAAAAAGGAGGAAATTAAGCATTTCTTATAAATATTGAAGGAGCATTATGTTTCTCGTATGAAACATTCTCGCCAACAGAATGAAACGCGAGATTTATACTTCACAGAGACAATTTGAAAACTGGCTGGTGGGTGAGACTACAAGAAAAAGAAAACAAAGACATTTCAAAGAAATAGAAAACAATATAAATAGATATGCATATATATATATATATATATATATAT